GTGGGAGATTTTAGGTTCTCTAAAGCTGGCCAGGAGATTTTTGTAATCTATTTCGTCATCTAAGTATAAAATGGTGGAGTTGGATGTATATTTTATCGTATATTTACCCTTGACTATACTTTGAAGGTCCTTTTTTAAATTATTGTGATTGTCGGTCCTGCCCTCTATAACAATTGGGGTCATAGTCGATTTCTTAGGGACATTTGAATTGGTTTTATTACCGGTGTTCGTCTTGGGTGGTCTTTGGGCTTCCGACTCTTTCGGCCTACTAGTAGTGGCTTTCTGTGTGTCGGCTTTCTTTGGTGGGATGGACGTTTCGTCGTCTGAGTCGTAGACATGGGTAACGCACTAAAATTCTTTGCGTTGATACACTAACTCCGGCGCACTCTATTGCGCCAACTCATTGCGTTAACGCAATTGCGTTATTGCGTCACACCACTGCCTGCGCCGAATGAAGTCGATGCACCTCGGTGTATCGCATGATACCGGTGTTATACAGCGCGGGCTGTCTTTTGTTCAAGGCAATAACGCAATTGGGAATGTAACTAAATTTTTTTTATTATATGTTTAAAAATAAACGAAAATATAACAGTGTAATGCACTCATTTTTTTATTTCATTGTGTTCGGATTTTACAAAAAATACAAAAATTCCAATTTATATAAAAAGAATATAAATTTTGTATACTAGTAGCCAATCAAATTGAAAAGAACTAAAAATTGACAGTGTACAAGATTAAAATTCATAAAATTCGACCTACAATCCTACAAATGATGTGACATGTTGCAAAGAACATAATTACTTGAAAGATTTTGGGTAATCTGCATTACGAGTTGCATCAATTACGTAAATTAAAATTCTCAACTCGTCACGGAAAACGGAATCAGTGCCTGGCGCATGGCGCACCAACAACTCGCGATCCTTTCGACTCAGTATCGAAAATTGCGTTGCGCTGATACAATAACAACTGGTGTATCAACGCTCGTAACGCATACAACTGCGTTAACGCAATAACGCAACGCAGCGCTGCGTTACCCATGTCTACTGAGTCGGTATCGGATAGTGCATTAAACTTGTTTTGCAGTTTTATCGACCTCACCGCCTTTTCTCGTAGAACCTTAACAAAGTTTGTAGAAAACTTCTTAGGTGTTTTGAAGCCTTCTGTAGCATTATTTTTCATGCTTTCTGGTTCCCCGTTATTGTGTTCATTAATTGTGGGTCGTTCTAGCGTCCTTTTCCTCTTGGGTGGCTGTTCAGGCGTAGTTTTCGCGATCGCGCCCGTGGACTCCGCCGGTTTCAGCCCAGTAAATTTTCGCACTTGATCGCTGGTCACATTGACGTCCGTTCGGTTCGTTTTTACCACAAAGCATGTATCTTCTAGAGACCCCACGCCAATGTTAAACTTTTAAACCAAATTAGCGCCACCTTGTGTTTGGAGCTGGAACTAAAATGACAATTGACAGATGGCGGTAAATTCAAATTGTAATTTTTAGGAGTAGTTTTAAATTAAATTTTAAATTATTTCCACATAAATTATTTTATAAAATAAAGTATGGAACTAGTAAGTTCGAAACTTTTGTTTTACAAAATAATTTAGGTCGATTATACCAAATTTGAAGAATTAATTTGTTATAAGGGGTCTAATGTGGAGAGTTGGTTCTGCATATTTTTATTAAATAAATATAAGATATATCTATAAATAATAAAATAGAACATTCTTAAAATATGTTTATTAATAACTTAAATATTATTAGATAAAAATAAATACAAATAATAATACATATTTAACGAATACTTACTTGGAGCAAATAGATATATAATCTCAAATCTTTAAAATACCTATCAATAATATAAATGTGAAGTAGAGACTAGGATATTACATTTTATTAACACTAAAGTTATATATTTTATAAATGTCTTTTAACTGAGGACAAATGTAATATAGGTATTGTATTAAAAGGTGAATCCTTTTAACTATTCATTCAATGATAAATAGGTATTTTCCTTCCAAATACAGATGGTGGTATTACTCTCTTATGTGAAAAATGATTTCGGAATCTAGTCCAGTGATAAATTGATTATCAATTAGTTGTTGTCCCCGTTTGTCTTTTTATGATGCAGATGCATGGTGAATATATGGTGAATCAATGAAGTTTTTCTCGAAGTTTTCAACGTAGCACCAAAATTATTGCAAAACACAGTAGGAAATAAAAAAGCGAAACATCACAATTTTGCAAATAACTAAGACGAAACTATAAACAGAAACCAAAAGCCAAAGCCAACAAAAAATCACTAAAATCAGACGGAAAAATGAAACTAACCAAGAACATAAATAAATACACGTCACATCTTTGGAGTCTTTGGTTAAGTTTTTCTCCCATAAGGCTTAAAAATGGAGTAAGAAATCATAATTTCACCAGTAGCCCCATCTAGAGTTTGGAGCAAATAGCATAAAAAATGTCAGTTGTCGGTTTTGACCTTGGTCATTCACGTGGAACCTCTATGTGCTTTGTGGTTTTTACCGTCTCGTCTTCACTAGAAGTAGTGTCCGTTTTGAAATTTAATATTCTCGTGGTAACCGAGGCTGGCAGCGGCAGCGAGTCGTATGCCGACGTAAAGTGTGGAAAATCATATCCCGATGGTTGTGCATTTGTGTTGGCTTTCCCCGAACTTTCGGCACTATTCTCCGAACTTTTGTTAATGTTCTCCAAGCTTTTTGAGATATTCTCCATACTTTTGTTCACTTTCTCCAAGCTTTTTGGTTCATTCTCCCAACTTTTTTGCACTTTCTCCAAGCTTTTCGACACTTTCTCCGAACTTTCGAGGTCTGGTCTATCGCTAGCTAATTGTAAGAGTCTTTTTTCTGCGTCAACGGCACATTGGATTATTAAATTGTCAATGGTTTGTTCCGCGATACCGGTACTGTTTTCGTTAGCACTTCCGAATTCTCCGACATTCACGAGAGTATTGTTCAGAGGCGAGCTTTCCGCACTTTCAAAGTTAACAAAGTTTTCATCACTGTCCGGTGAGTCGATCGGGCTTGAAGAGTCTATCTTGTCCTCGGTATTATTTTTAGAAAGTATGTGGAATACTGTTGCTTTTTTTCGAGGTTGTCGCACGTATTACGGGGTTTCTTCGAATTTGATTCTTCTCGCAATCGACTGTCTGGGCACCATTGCTCTAGAGGGTACATAAAATCCAATTTGCGTCATCAAGTAGAGACGATCGGCAGTAGAATTAATAATGTTAAATATGGTGTAAAAGGTAAATAAAAATAATAATAATAATTCAGGTTTAAAAACTAGGTTCACAATGAATTGGGATTGTAATTTTCAGGGCAAACAAAATTATCCCTCTCATGTCTTATGTGAAATAAATTTTGAATATTCAAATATATACTCAAAAATGTGATATAGTATCATATTGTGGGGTAATTGTGTCTTCGCAGATAACATTAAAAAAAAGCTTTAAGAATAATTGCCAAACTACTTATAGAGAATCCTGTAGAGGTTATTTTAAAGCAACAAATTTCTTTACTTTGATTGCTTTGTTTATATCTGAATATATTAAATATATTTAAAACAATAAAAACTAATTGTAAAGCTCTGAGATTACCCAATAACACGCATCATGGTGACATAAATCGTTATTCAATTCACAGGTTATATTTAACAAAATACAATCCTTTCTATATTTGGCAAGATTTAGATTTAGGGGCAAAATTTATACCAAGTGTGTAAATGTTCTTTAACTTTTTCCTTAGTATGAACTTGGCATTTTGAAAAAGAATTCTTCAAATTCACCACTTTAAGGCCCTCTATCATGCATTTGCAGACCCATGCTCATAAAAACTGTTTTCCATGTTCACGTGTACTCTCGCTCCTTCCCTCCAATTCTGGCGCAAGGAAAAAATAGCGCAAGAAAAAAATAGCGCAGGACAAAATGGCGCGTAACGAACAAGATGTTTAATTATTGAAATTCATTGAAATAATGCGCAACAAATACTGTTCCGACGACGCCTATGTAGAGAATGTTTGAAGTGTAGCTCTTTCTTTAGGATCTGACCCATTTTAGCGCAAAACAATTTCGTGCGGGACAAATACATGAGAGACAAGTTAGCGCGTGATATAAAGTGAGAGCAATTAACGCCTAGTCTAATTATGGCAAGTCAAGTAAGCGCTTTTTCATAAAAGAGGCGGGTTGCTGTATATGGATCCAGGCCGCACAGGTTAGGTAAATTAGTTGAGTTTTTTTTTTAATTTAATATGCGCTTTTTCAAAAATGAGTGAAATAAATTAACGCGTAACAAGATACGACAGTATTTTAATTAAAATTAAAAAACCTAATCTAATGTACCTAACTTGTGCGGGTTGCTGCATATGGCTCCAGGCCGCACAGGTTAGGTAAATTAGTAACGATTTTTTTTTAATTTTTCTAATTTTATGTCATTTTTTTTTTTTTTTTTCAAAGCAACCTGCTATGGCTTCAGGCTGCTCAGGTTTGGTAAATTAATTTTTTTTATTTTATTTAAATATAATACTGGAATATTTTATGTCCTGCGCTATTTTGTCCTGCGATATTTTATACTTGCGCTATTTAGTCCTTGCGCTGTTTTGTCATGGAGCCACTGTAAACAACTTTAGACTTGACACATCAACATCTGTGCAGACGGCTTCTATGATGTTTTTGGTTTCCACTTTGTCATCATCGGATTCATCTATATAACGAAAGATCATGAGATTATTTTTCTTGGAGTCTCTTTTATTTATCTCTTTAATAGCATCAAATTTCACCTCACTTTTCACAATTTTTTTTTTTTTTATTAGTTCTTGTATCTGTTGTTTTAAGATGTTTACTACATTTCTCAATTCTTCATTTTGCTGTTGTTGTATACCAATGTCAACACAGTCATCCAAAATCTACACCTAATGTTTATTTACTTACTGTTTCCACATTGTGTATTAATCGTATTAAACATTTACCTTTTTTTTTTACTTTTAGTCAGACTTGGATATTTCGGCTAGTGAAGTAGAAGACAATATTTCAACAGCATCTTCTCAGTTAGGGCATCTAAGTAAGGAACAAATATATTCAGCTTTTCAAAAGTCTCAAAGACAATACCATAAGTATAGAGGCAGATACACAGACTTATCAAGACACTATAAAGATTTAGAAAGAGAAATTATAAAAATGAAGGTAATTTTTAAAATATTAAATTATTAATTTAAACAATCTATCCTCTAAAACATATTTTTTATTTTTCTGTAAGTCTTTCTTAGTGTTAAACAAAATTCTTTCCAATTTTCCTAATGGTAGAGATTTTGAAATTATTATTGTATCATTTTTAGAGTGTATTGGTTGAAACTCAAGACAAAGCTATAAGAAGAGTTACTGAATTAAAAGAGCAATGCAGCTTAGAGCAGAAAGCCAAAGCTCACTTGGAAAGTGCTCTCAGAGATGATATTGATGAAAAAAATTACAAAATAAAAACACTTCAAACCAAAATTGGCCTACTTCAAAATGACCATACAACAACTAATTTAATGAACGCCGAAGAAAATGCTAACAACTCTGAAAATTTAGAAACATTAACAAAATACCTTAACGAATCTAGAAAAGAAATTGAAAAATTAAATGCTAAAATACAGGAATTAAAAGCAAATGCTATAGTTTTTCAAAGCAAGGAACAAGAGTACAAATCTAAGCTTTCCAGTTTAGAAAAAGAAATTGTTCAATTTTCTGAAAGAGAAAAAGAAAATAATTTAAATTTAGCCCAAAATAAAATGGAATTACATAATGAAATTCTAATTAAAGATTCCGAAATATCAAACTTAAAAAGAGAAACTGAAACACTAAAACAAAAATTGGAAACATTTGAAATAGAAGGCAAATCAAACAGTAATCAAAAAATGGAAAATTTACAAAGTCAGAATACGAAATTGATTGAAAAAGTTGAATCGTTAACCCAAAAATCCAATAATTTAGAAAGTGAATTGATAAAAATGCAAACTTACAAAATAGAAATAGATAACTATAAACAAAAATATGTTGAATTAGAAAAACAAGTAATTGATTTACAAAAACACAATGATGCACTTTCTAACTTAAACTCACAACAAATTAAAAGTTTACAAGAACAAAAAGAAAATTATGAAGAGCAAATTTCACATCTGCGTGAAGATGCAAAGAAAGGTATTTTATCATTGGACAATAAAATTAGACAAAAATTAGAAGTAGAATTTTTGGAAAGAGAAGAAGAAATTCGGAATGAATTTACAGCTAAATTACAAGAATTAAGTTCTAATAATACAACACAAGAATTACAATTGCAAATATTCGAAAAAGACAGTCTTATTAAAAAAATAAGTGAACAGATAAATGAAACCAATTCAGAATTAATTAAGAAAATGGAAGCTTACACTGACTTGGAACAAAACCATTTAGAACTAATAGAAAATTGCACAAAACTACGAGACACAATATCTAACTTTGAAAAGGATAAATTAGCACTCGATTCTTATGAAGAAAAAATTAGTCGACTTGAGGCACACATTAACACATTGCAAGAAGAATTAAAAACTTCAAACAATAATTGTAAGAAAGCAGAAAAGGAATTAGATGATGTTAAAGCCGCTTTAGTTAACTCCTCTAAACAGATCAAACTTCTCGAAGAACAGCAGTTACAAGAGAACGCTGATGGCAATGAAATTGAATCAAAGTTGAAAAGTTTAGAAGAAGTTAAAAAACAGCTTGCTTCTGAAAATGAGAAGTTAACAGAAACAATTGATCGTCAAAATGAAAACATTGAACATCTAAAGCAAAATCTAGAAGATGAAAAAGAAAAACTCAATGATATAAATGAAAAACATTCAAATGTTGTAATGGAATCAGAAGACTTAAAAGAACGGGTTAGATTGTTTGAGTTAAAAGAGGATTCTATGAATATTAAAAAAAACGAAGTTGGATTGTTAAAACTAAAACTTCAAGAATTAGAAAAAACGCTTAAATTGAACTTAGAATCGGTTGACAAAGAACATGAATCAATATCAGAAGATCTTGATTCTATCAGAAAAGAGCTGAATCTTACGGAAGAAGAAACTTTCATTAATCAGTTTAACCAAGGTGGTATTACATTAAAATTGGATGCTTTGAAAGACATGTGTGCTAAGAAAAATAAAGAATATAATGAATTGCTTCTGAAACAGTCCGATTTAGTAACAGAAAATGTGTCTAAACTCACTCAAGTTGAAAAGCTCCAGTCAGAAATGGCCAGTATTTTAAGTACAAATAAAGATTTTGAATCAAAAATTCACAATTTAGAAGACAGTATTAAAAAAAGTAATAGTAATTTGGAAGAAAAAGAAATTTTATTAAATAATCTTACGTGTAGCTTACAAGAAAATCAGAATAAATTACATGACCTGGAAAAAGTGTTCTCTTTAGAACAAGACAAATGCAGTAAATTTTCCCAAGAGAATGTTCTGTTAGTAACAAAATTAAAAGAACTGGAAGAAAAATACAAACTACTTGAAGTAAACCAACAAAAATTAGATACAGAAAAATCGGAGTATAATGATATACAACACAAGCTACAGATGATAGAAAAAGATTATCAACATTTGCAAAACCAGTATGAGGAAGAAAAAATATTATATGATAAATCAGCAAAAGAAAATAAAGAAACTATTGACAAGTTGAAAAAAGATTATACTAAGGCAAACGAAGAAAGCAAACATGAAAAAATAAACGCTGAAAGTATTAATCAAAAATTGCAACAATTAATGGAAACAAATAATAAATTAAAAGCAGAAACACAAGAAATTATTGCAACAAATGAAAAACTTAAGAACGAAAAAGAAGATAAAGAAAAGGAAATTTCTAAACTTTCTAGCGATATCATCAACTTAAGTAACACAATAGAAAAACAAAATATAGAATTTAATAATCTCCTTACAAAAACTAACGATTTAGACAGTATGTTAGAAAATATTAGGACTGAAAAGGCAAATGCAATAACACAAGAAAAAGACCAACAAAATCACTTAAAGTCGAAAATAGAAGAGTTGAATAAAAAATTGGAGCAAGGATCTAAAGAAATTATTGCACTAAAGGAACATATTTCTCAATTAGAAATCTCTCACAGAGATGAGAAGGAAAAATTGGAGAAAAAGCTATCAGAATATACAGAACTTGAATCTAAATTGAAAAAACACAATGATGATTTGAAAACTAAGGACCAAGAAATTTATATTCTTAACACAGAACGGGATAGTCTTTTGGAAGAAATTACTACACTAAGAGGAAGTCTAGGACAAATGGCTAATGAGATTTCTCAAAAAGGAAACATTGATGCAAGATTAATCCACTCAGAATGCGAAAAAGAAGATTTAAAACTTCGAAATGCTAAAATTAAAGAAGAAATATTGGAGTTGAATAAGAGGATACAGGAACTCTCATTAGATAATAGAAATATATTGGAAGAAAACCAAACCCTATCTCAGGAAAAAGAAGAACTCAAAATTGCCTTAGAACTTCTAAAAGATGAACCAAATACCGGACCAGATCTAGAAAAACTTAAACTAGACAATTTAACATTAATTAACACTATAGAAGATCTTACCGCTAAAATAACCGAATTGCAAGTACAACATTCTAAACTTATAAATGAAAGAAGATTGTCCACCACTAATGAAATAGATATAACAAAAATTCAACAAGATTTTTACGAAATTAAAGAAAAATGTGATGACCTTTTTATAGAAAACAAAAATTTAAAATTAGAATATAATACCTTAGAAGAAAAATGCAACAGATTTGGGAAAATAAAAGATAAATTAGAAACACAAATAAGCGATTCAGAGCGACATTACAGCGAATTACTTAGAGAAAAAGAACTACTAGCAGACGAAGTACAAGAATTAAAAACGGCTCCCGTAAACTATAAAAATGATATATCTCGTTTGGATAATCTGGAAACATTAAAAAAAGAACAGAGTTTTTTGAAAGATTCAGAGAAGCAGCTCTACCTTAGCGAATTAGAAGTACTCAGGGACAAACTAACTAAGTATAAATCATTAGATCTGACCAACAAAAGTTCTATAGAATTTTATGAAAATGAGTTACAGAAGATGAAGATCCAGAATGATAAGTTAAATCGAAAATTGGATGAAACTTTGGTGACTTTAAATCACTGCGCTGAATTGTCAACTTCAACGGAGGTAGAATATTTGAGAAATGTGCTGTTCAATTATATGCTGGGAAAGGAAAGTGTCGTATTGGCGAGAGTGATAGCAGCCGTTTGTAAATTTGATCCTCATCAAACTGAATTGATTTTACAAAAAGAACAACAGAAGCAGACATTGGTAAGTACGAATATATCTTTAAAATAATGGCAGAGAGAAAAATAATAAATTGTATTGATACATTATATTAAAAGGCAATGGAATGAGTAGTCTAGGAGGAATTGGTGCATGCATGATTGTTGTTTTTTTCAGAATCCTTTAAAAATATGCCCGATATGTAAATACAGTTTGCTATGAGGAAATGTGTTTAAAATAAAATTGTTTAAACAATTCTTAAAAAATAATATTTTCAAACGGGAAAAATCTATCATATTCTTTACTTTAATATAAATTAAAAAAATTCTATACATTTTTTTAAGAAAGTTAATATTTTAGAAAATATGAATTTTTAAGGTTTAAAATATCACGATTTTGACGAATTTTAACGGCTACTAAATCTATAAAAATAACTAATATGATTATTAAACAATTTTTTTATATTCTCTATCATGGAATTATACTCCGTAGCGAGGGACAAACAATTGAAAACCCCCGTGAAGATTTATATACATCTGTTTTAGCGTGTTCAACCTTGTGTTCACCTATTTGCTGCGCGTCGTGGCCTTAAACTCGTTGCTCATGCTTTAAAGGCTCGAATAAGCATTAGTATCATAATATACTATTATATGGAGTTGTGTATTGTTACAAAGATATTCAATAGTTTTAAAATCGAGAAAAAAATTCGAGATATCAATTTTTTTATACACTGTGTTCAATTAAGTCGGCACCATATGGGAAACTTTTTTATTGTTAGTTTTATGGAAAAAAGTTATTCTTTATAAAAAGTTTTGCATGGTCTAAAACCTAAAATACAACCATCAGCTATTACATTTTTTGAGCCGTATACGAGGTGCGTCAAAAAATATAAATTTCGTCAAAAGTAAATTACTTTTATTGTTGACAAACCTCGTATACGACTGATAAAATTTGATATCTGATGGTTGTATTTCTAAAGAATCCGTTTTTATACCTTTTTAAATCTGAAAACTGTATTTAACAATATTTACAAGTGAATTTATTTAGTTTCTTTGAATCTTCTTTTTTGGATTCAAAATAGTCTGTGTCAAGATAACCATTGTCTGTTGACGCATCCGACTCTATCTTCGTGATCTATATTGTGATTATTAACTTTTCCAATTAAAATGTGAATTTCTTCTTTAAACACGCTCCTCTTGAAAATTACATAAAATTTCATCTATGAAATTTCGTATTTCATCTAATTTGGTTATACAATTAATAAACATGTTCTTTGGTAACGTATCACATGTTTTCTTTGGCTGTGCCATTTTATTCCACTTTAGCCATACACACTTTCACTCCTTGTGAAGTATCTTCTAAAATAAAAAGTCTTGACTCTAGTAAAATTGCGGGCCCTGATGGGGTACCACCGTCGTTCTTGAAGGGGTGCTGTGACTCCTTGTCAATACCACTTAGCCAAATTTTCCAAAAATCATTTGATAGTGGAATATTTCCATCTGCTTGGAAATTTTCTCACCTTATGCCAATTTACAAGAAAGGTGATAAAAGCGATATAAAGAATTATAGAGGTATTTCCATTATATCGATAATTCCAAAACTATTTGAATCCATAGTAACAGATGAAATTTTTTACACATAAAAACTATATCTCTCCTCAACAATATGGCTTCTATCAAGGTCGCTCGACATCAACTAATCTGACAATATATCAAGACTTCTTAATTTCATCAATTGAAAATGGTTAGGTTAGGTTCTTGTAAAATGTTAAAAGTTTCTTCACTTGTATTTTTAAAGTGTCTTTTAATTCTAATTGATTAATTTTCATATCGTTCAATTTTTTATTGTAAACATTTTCGGAATGTTGAGCAGGTCTTGATGTAACTCAATCGTGTTGACATTTTTCTCAACACCTATACAATAATTGCATCCAATAATAATGTCCAACATCTTCAGGAATCACATTATTTGGAACGACCTCTAACGTAATAGTCGGCAAAATCACAAAGATCGATATTCTAAACATCTTGAGTTCCAATTCATAACAAAAGCACATACATCAGCTGGCCTAATCGTTCCTTTTAATGTTTTTACTACGGAATGTTTAATTATTGAACTATCAGCATCACTCTCAATAAAGTATTTTAATGACTGAATTTGTTCATTTACAATCATTGCTTTTAAGGGTAGCCTTGTATTCACGAGCAGCTGGTTTTTTCTTGTCAGCGAATGCAACAATTAGGTCATCACAAAGTCTTGCCACGTTCGAGAAAGAAGTCGCCAGTCACAACAATAACCGCGATTCCTAGATGCGTCGCTCGATTTAGCGACCATGAAGTTATCTCTAACGCTTGGTTCGGCTTTTATTTTGGTTAGCGTCACTTAAGCCATTCTTTTATGGAATATGCGCTATCGTCAGAGTCATAGCTGGTAAGTCGAAAACAGTGCACAGGCGCGAATCTTAGCGCTTGCGTGTTAGATTAATCTGCTCCTGCAACACTGGGCGTTGGCTTAGCGAACGGCTACGTAGCCATCTTGGAATGTTGAATTAAATCAGCAATTTGTTACTTTTGGACTGCTACAAAGTTTATTAATGTTTCCTGCCATTGAAATTTAGCACGATTTGAACTATGTCTGTTCACATTGTTTTTAACATCGACCGCCATTGTGTTTGGCTGACGCATTGTCATGAGGTTCAGGATTTTCGTCCGCCATTATCACTAGCACTAACTTCTAGTTAAATTACTAATTATAGTCTATTAGCCTCGGTACGCGTAGTGATCCCACTTCTGATATAAACATAAGGGATGTATCATCCCTAATAAAAAGGTCTAAAACTGCTTTTTCAATGGTTTAATTCACGATCAAGTATTATCAATTACAATGTTGCTGTCTATTCGCGTACTGCCCACTGCTCTGGTCTGCCTTCTCCCGCTCGTCCATCCTGACACGCATGTGTATGGACTTCAAGAATGTGTGGTGAGGAGCAGAAGAACACCGCTAACATATTTATATACGTTATACATTGGCATTGACATATTTTATGTTATTGGCATTTTTTAAGCAACTTTTAAAGTTAAAAAATCCAGATTGAAGTTAATAAAAATCTTTAAACTGTAATTACTCAAATCTTGTAATTTTGAGATACACCTGTTCGTCTTGTTAACGACGAATTTAGGTAGATTTACATTCATTTCAAAATTGTTTAATATACAGACTTATAAGATACTAAGCTAACGAATAATGGTGACAGAATTGATTTATTTTATACAGAGTGTTTTGAAACATGTTTTAAATATGGCTATTTATGTGGTAGTGACAAATATGAAAATTTTCATCATTAAGGACAGTTTTTTAATTATTACGCTCACAGATATAATAATGATAAATAATAATTTACAACGGATAGGCTCAGCAGCGCGTGAGTAGAACAATGACATCAATACTTTAAGGTAAGTCCCGGTTATTTATGCTACTAAAAATCAGTCGCTTAGTGATGAAGATTTTCATATTTCATATCACAAGAATATAAATAATTTTTTTTATAGATTTATAAGCCGATAAAGGGATCTATTCTGTAAAAATTCCTTTATATTTAACGGCCTTTAAAAATATTGGCGGCCTTTAAAAGTATATTTGTATTCGTTAATTTACTTCTGTCATTATTTAAACAGATTTCTTTAAGATAGTCCTCTAATGTATTTTAAAGATCCGTTTAAATAATGACAGAAATAAAGAAGAAAATATTTTTAAAGGCCGTTAAATATAAAGGAATTGTTACAGAATAGACCCCAAATCACGTCAAATTCGTGTTTTTAAAAATTCATATCTTTTAAAATATTCTTTATCCAAAACATTTATGGAACTTTTTTTATTTGTATTAAATTAAAGAGTATAAAAAATATTTGTCACATTTGAAAATAATATTTCTTTAGGAATCGATTAAACAAAATGGGTCCACATTGCCCCATGTTAAACTACATTTATACATTTGGCATATTTTTAAATGATTCTGACAACAACATTGCATCGGAATAGTTTTCGATACTCATGCACCGATTTTTCCTAGACCAGAGGTTCTTCAGATGAATAATGGCCTTTTAATAATTTTGTTATTTTCATGTTAAAGCGTGTTCACATCGCGAGGCATGTATCTCCAATGTCTCACCGACTTTTTGTCAATGAATATAAGTTTTCACATTATTATTTAACTTAACTTTATATCAACATATAAAGGGGTACTAATAAATCAGGTAAATAGAGAGATAAGAATTGGTTGAAACGACCTAGATTCGGACAGTCCAGAATATTCATAGAAGGTACTCCTTACAATTCGATATAAAATTATCGTCTGGATATAAAAGACGTAAAAACAAAATAATGAATGAAAATTGCGGAACTGGAAAAAAAATAAGAATTAATGAAGGCAATCGAAAAAAACTGCTTGTTTCTCCAATAATAAAAGTAAGCAGTTTTACAAGGAAAATAGTTACTCCAGCTTTAGAAAAATGCTTATATTTGGAGAAGTGCAAGTAAAAAAAAAGAAATCCAGTAAGAGAAGGTTAATTTCCGATGTTTCTGGACCGATAATAAAAAATAGGTTTCAGTATTTTATCGAAAATCTCTCTTCACGACTCGTTTAAAAAATGGGCTAATTTTCATGGTGAACAATTTAAAGAACTAAGAAGAAAAGTTGTTTTTCCAAACTGGTTATGACAGTCGCTTGTGTCCTGGAAAGAATGACACAATCACATAAATGACAAAAAAACAGAGAAGATTCTTGAAAAAACTACATTTGTTATAGTTATCTCCCAGATAACTTAAAAAAGTAATCTTTTTACTTTTGGATAAAACTAACCGGCAGATAAATTGGTGTTATCTAAAAGGTAACTTATCTTACCTCTGAACTTCAAGTGGTTAACTGATGGATAAGTAGGTATGTAACATAATAAAATGTGATACGAGTCAACATATTATTTTATTTGCTTTTATGACGATGTTGTGTTTATGTTAAAAATGGTTTACTTGTTTGTTATGTATAATTGTGTATTTATTCTCGAGAAAATACTTGGAAAAATAAGCGGTATAATAAAGAAAAACAGCCTTTACATACGGTGTGACAATTTTAAAACTTACAATGGGATGTATCTCACAAACGAAAATATCAAAAAATGCTTAAAACTGTTTCTGGGATAGGAAGGATGAACTAAAATGACATAAAAGAGAACTCACAAATTTGTACTTCAACAAAAACTTCATTTAATTTTCCTTTTAAGGCAAGGTTTCACAATTATTATTTACCCTGTACAATTATTATTTATACCATTCGATAGCATTTTTTAGGGTCTTTTGATTTGAAAATCGATCGAGCGAGCTTCGAGGAGAACGAGAAGTGATGATGTTACAATAGAGCATTGAATCAAATCAAATAAAACAGAGTAAAAAACATAACCTCTTTTTTTTGTGTTTCTTGTTTCTATCAACTTTTTAAGTTTGGGTAGGTGCCCATACAATACAAACACATTTCGGAAATATTTCAACAATGTTACATTGAAACATTTGCAATGTTGTATAAATATTACGAAACATTTCTGAAATATAAAAATGTCCTGTAAATATATTTCACAGTAATATTTCTGAAATGAGAATTTAAAATCTTTTAGAAATATTAAATAGTAATATTTCAGAAATGTATTCAATTTTTTTTTCTAATATATTATTAGACTAAAAAAAAAAAAGACATTTTAAAATATACATGTTTATTTAAAATACACAAAACTCAAACATTGATTCTTAAACAAACAAATGAATATGTTTTAAAGAATATTTCATAAAATATAGAAGCGAATTGCTTCATTTCCACCAATTCCTTTAAATGCACTAATTTGAAACAACTAGGGTTTTTTCAATAGATGCTCCAAGTAAAGAAACATTTACGAGTATTATAATCTAATCATTAAGATCAATTAGCAATTTTATTTTTATCTAACTTATCTAGGGATGAAAAACTTCATAAACTAAGATTCTACTCACTATATAGTGTACTTTAGAGTCTAATTATTTAGTTACACTACCGTTAAAAACACTTAACAGCACTAGACTCTGTTTTAATCTAACATCACTGAACTAACTCAAAAGGCCTGGTTCTCTTGAGTCTTCTTATTAGATTGGCATTGTTGAGGAGCTGGATAATCTCAAGGTATCCATGTTGGAGCAGTCGTTGTTGGTGACTACTGGCAAATTTTTGTATTGTATTTTCAACAGTCTCCACTTTAAGGTCCCTATGAAGATCAGTATTACGGCAATACCAGGATGCATCGGCGATTTTCTTTAATACTTTATTCTGGAAACGTTGAATAACTTGAATGTTACTTTTACATTTCCACCAATTCCTTTAAATGCACTAATCTGAAACAAAATATAGGTAATTAAAAAGGATTTATACAAATTATTTGATTACCAATAGTTTTATTAATATTGTTTTAAATGAACTATAATAAAACAATACTCATGTCTAAACAAAACATGAAGCAAGCATTATTTATGTAGTTCTCACCTTAATTTCTAAAGACATTATTCTGCTTCCCATATAACAAGTTCACAACGCATGAATATCAAAAACCAACAACTCAAATCTATAATTATTTAGAATATAGGCTTGTTTCTAGCTGGTGGCTGGACAGGGACATATGATGAAATAAAATAACTACATATCCCATCTTCTTACAAATTAGAAATTCTTTGTTAATTGTTGGCCTTCTACAACATAACCCGTTTAGTAACTTTTTGTGTAACATGTATATCATGTTTCAGAAACATTTTCAGTGAAATATTTAACTAAAATATTTCTGAAACACTTCTGAAATAATGTGTGCTGTATGGGTGAGGCCTAGGGGGTTGATGGGGTGAGTTCTCTTTTATGTAATTTTAGTTCCCCCTTCCTATCCTAGAAACGGTTTTAAGCATTTTTTTATATTATCTTTCGTTTATGATAGATAGCCCATTGTAATTTTTTAAATTGTCACACCATATATAAAATAGTATATGGCAAATAGTGTAAACTACACCTTTGAAAAATTAAATTTAATCAAATGAACAATCTATGTTAATTTCTATTACAACAGACCCCAGAATAAGTTTTTAATTTTGCAGTACTGCTTTGTGTTCTTTGTTCTTGTCACTTGCTTCATGGAGTTTTAAATAATAAATATTTTCAGAAAAATACAAAAACCTCTTTCAAATTAGTGACAGAACGAAATAACGACAAGTAACATGAGAGTGACATATCGCATGCATAAATACATTGATATGAAGGTAGTTACATGACCACAGAACGTTAAAAAGTACCAGATAACTACCCTACTGGTTATTTCTCTTGAAAAGACGGGAACCAATCAGATAGTGATTTTTCAGATACTATATCCGTTGGTTAGTTAACTGGAACTTTATCTGAAGGTGAAAAGACCGACCCTTACTTTTTTATTTCATACTATTTTTGATTATCACACAAGAATTGTTTAGTTTTGTAACTAGGTATAATTTTATTGGAATATCTGCCTCGCTTTGCTCGGCACTCGTTACATAAAATAAGGCATTTCGTAAATGGTTTCATAAATAGATGTTATTGTCAAAGACAGAAGTTTATTGACAAAGCTGCAGAAATCCTATTTCCTACTAATATATAAATGCGAAAGTTTGTTGCTCAATCACGCAAGAACGGATCTGGATGAAATTTGGCACAAAGATAGATTATAGTCTGGAATAGCACATAGGCTACTTTTTATCCCGGAAAATTCATTAACCAAATTCTATTTTTATATACTCAACTTTCCCTTCTTTGATATAAACTTTCAATACCAATGTACATCTTGAAATTAAAACCAAAAAAGATTTATTTTTCTTTTCTTTTTACAACTGGTGACATGATGAATGCTTCCCCATATTTGAACCCAGATTTCAGTCGGATGGAGTCGCTTATGATATAATCGGAATATACCATGTACTAAAGCGTATTTCATAGTATACTGTCGCACTTTAAAATTAGTTTTGAATAACTTTGCATGTAGCCGGTTTTGCGAATAGACGACTCAATTTATTAGTCGAGCCTAATGTGATTACAAGCTGAAATAATATCGAATTTGTAATTGATTAATTAAAATTCTATTGCTGTGAATAAGCAGGAATAGGATTTAAATGCTGATAAATATTTTTCATTCATCGACATAAATTTATGTAGAGTTTTTGTTTTGTTTCAGTTAGGCCAGCTGGGACTCATTTAACAGTTAGAAGGCTAAATTTGAGCAAGCCTAAATTTAACTAATGCCCAAATGCATTGTACCTACTGAGCTAGGAAGCTACAAGTACTTGTCCCACAGGGGTACGAATAAACTGAAGAAGAGACAGCATAAATGATTCCCCAGTAATTCCTTTTTTATTATTTCAGATAATGTAATTCAAAAGTTCGAACTACATACTTTTATATATCCTGGAATTTAATAAATAATTCTAGGTCATATAAAATAAGTGTATTTTGAAATATGTTGATTCAATATGAAGGTAATTCCTTTTCGGACTCTTGAATTGTATTGCATTATTTAGAAGCTAACATAATTTGGTTACGTTTATATATTTACATAGATGGTTAATATTTTCTGTGAATTTTAGCATTTCTAAAACACTACATTAATAAAACATTAAAAATACTTACATTGCTCAAAACATTTTTTTTTTTTTTTTTTTTGAAATAGTCTCTAACAACACACTGAAGTGGTAAGTAGTCTTTTACAGAATCAATTATTAAAATTAAAATCCAACTTGATTTGACCAGTTATAAATTTTTATTACAATATTGTTTTACTTCTATTTTCTTTTTAGTGCCAAGAAAATATTGTATGTTCTTGAAAAGTTCTAACAGAAAAATAATTGGTATTTATTTACACTGCTCATCAATTGAACTATATAATTCTAATTATCTTTAACCAAACATGACAATGTGGAAAACCATCCTCAGCACGTTCTCAATAATTTCTGCTAAAAATGTTGTGAATTTCACAATAAGTTGTTAATGGTTCTATTTCTAGCTTATTTTTCAATTGAAGATTAGTTTCATTTTGTTCCTTTGGTTACATTATAACATTACACTTTTATTAGATTTTCTTGTGTTTTTTGAAATATCCACTACGAATGTTGAGCAGTGTGGTTTTGTTAATTTAAAATATCTAAGGAAATTTGGGGATCATATACTGATTAAAAATTATTAATGATGCTAATAACACAAAATATGGAATTGCTGTTATTTTCTAAATTACAAAATGAATTTTTGTGAGCATTCCAATTTTAATATAATTGTAAAACAAACAAAAGTGTTTTATAGAAGTGATGGGCTCTTATTTATTTTTTTGTATTTAGATTAACTATTAACATTTTTTTTTTAATTTATATATGTACATATTGTTATTTAAATATTATTTTTATGTATGTTATAGTAAATTTTTTAGTCTCCAAAATTGTATTTGTATTTATCCTATATCCATATTTTCAAAAAAAGTCCCAATTTTCTTCATTCATAATTGCTTTATACTACTTAATATTGTTATAGCACTATTACCAAATTTTGGTTCTCTTAAATCCGCTTTTAGAGCTGTATTAGACTTATAATAGTGCAGTAAAGTCATGGTGTAAAGTTCCAGACTCTATAACCAGTGATCCACTCACCCACTCATATACAGGGTGTTAGTATATTCGACCGACAACGCTCTACCACAGAGAGCTCTCGTTAATTGATGAATTTTGATATAGGAAAATGAGCTTAGTTACCGAGATACAGGTGTTAAAAGTTTTAAATCAAAATTTGCCATAAATCAAAAACGTCTTTTAATATTTTTTTTCAAATTTGATCTACAAAGATGTTATTAAATACACGAACTATTAAACTTTTGAAACTTGCACACTATTTAGAAATATTGAGTCGTTATAAATTATCTAGGTTAAGTTGAAAATGGGTGGGATAATCTCATCACTTTCCACTGCGACCCAAATTAATCTTTTGTGGCTCATGTCTAACTTATAGTTCACAGTACAAGCCAAACCTTTTGTTGAAGGCCATGGTTTGAGTGAGACCTGTTTAAAGTCTGTAGGCTTCAGTCAGGTGAATCTGAAGATCTGGTTTTTTCCAAACCGGAGCAGGTTCATAAAATGTGCTATGCAGATTCGTCTTCCACACTGCAGATAGTCCCATATTTGTTGCAGACAAATGATCGAAGTACATGCAGACTTTTATTTAATTTAACTGGCAGCAGATATATTTTGCTAACAATATAGATGAGAAAGTTAGTATATTAACTAATTATATAAAAAATTTATTTGATCAACATGTTCCATTTAAAAGAGCAAAAATAACCAAACCTAAAACACCCTGGTTTACAGATATTCTTCATAAAATGAAGAACAGGAATCGGTTATTAAGTAAATTTAAACATTCAAGAGACCCTGATGACTGGCAAGCATATAAGCAATCGAGAAATCTATTCACGAGTTTAAGGAATGAAAAGCGTGCATATTTAGATCGAGTTAGTAGAAAATGGTGATTCTAGGAAAACGTGGAATTCCCTAAAAAATTTAAATATCTATTCTAATAAAAGTGATGTGAATATACCGGAACACCTGAACAACCCTGACGAAATAAATGCATACTTCATCGACTCCGTTCTGAATTTAAAATGTGACATAGATCCTGTATTGATTAGTACCTACAAAGATTGACAATTTAAAGATATTAATGATTGTGAGTTACAAGTTGTTTTGGAAAATGATGTAATAAATGCAGCAAACAGCATCAAATCCAATTCTGTAGGCTCTGATGGCATAACCCTAGGTATGTTAAAGTTGTGTTTGCCATACATATTGCCTTATTTGACACATATCCTAAATTGTTGTATAATTGAATGCTATTTTCCAATAAATTGGAGAACTGCCTGTGTATTTCCACTTCCAAAGGTGCAAACACCGAAAGACATTTCCGAACTAAAACCAATAAGTAAGGTGTCTGCATTGTCTAAGATTCTGGAAAAATTGATGTATTTTCAAATGGTAGAGTTTCTATCTATCAATATTTTCGCAGAAAATCAATCTTGCTTTAGAGCTGGATATAGCACAGTTACTGCCCTAACCAAAATGATTGATGATATATTGCAAGCCACCGATCAGGGTTATTAGACTTCAGTAAGGCGTTTGATACCCTGGGTAGAGAACTTCTCTTAGCTAAGCTTCATTATTATGGATTTTCAGATAGAACTATAAAGTTGTTAAAGAGTTACCTGTCAATACGTGTCGATTGAAAAAGCTCGAGATTAGTAAATAAAGGTGTACCACAGGGCTCCATCCTTGGTCCTCTTCTTTTTCTAATTTATACAATTGATTTAAGTAGCAATTCTGCGTTAACTGTAATATTGATCAATTTGCTGATTACACTCAAATCTATAGACAGTTTTTAAATATAGAGGTAGGTACAGCCTGTGTGGATATAAATCAGACGTTATCAAACATATCAGAGTATTCACGTAGACATGGATTAAAACTCAACCCATCTAAGACACAAGCCATTTGTTTTGGTAATATAACAGAAACTCTGAGATAATCTAAATATATCAATCGACAATGTAAAAGTAGAGCTTTACAATACAGTAAAAAGGCTAGTTCACATTTACACCTTACTAAGATTTAAAACACATCTTAAGCATGTTATTCAGAAATCTTACTTTGCGTTAAAGAATTTATATCACAGCCGATCATTCGTTAATGTGTCATTAAGAAAACAGCTTTGTGCGTCTTACTAACTATATGCTGATATAGTTTATATAGTCCATCCTTAGATGCTGACTCATCAGCAAGACTTCAACGAATCCAGAACTCCTGCATTAGGTTCATTTTTTGCTTAAGATCAAAAGATCACGTTTCACATAAGTTAAAGGAGTTAGGATAGCTTAACATGTATAATTGACATAAGCTTCACATTGCATGTCAGACTTACAAAGTGCTAAAAACTGAAATTCCTACATATTTATTCAAAAAGTTAACTTTTAGCTCAGAAATTCATAACTGCGTCACTAGAAACACAGGTCTACTTGTTGTACCCAAACACACAACAACTCTATATGAGAGATCATTTTCATATAGCGCTGTGAAAATTTATAATTCACTTCCCCAAAACATCAAATTCAAATTAGGTCATAAGTTCAAATTAGTTGAAAACTTTAAAAAAACTGTCAAGTCTCTTTTACTTATATGTTAATAAGTGTTGTTGGTATTTTCTCTAATCTTGTATATTGTGTTGTAGAGTGTGCATGATTTATCTATGACGTTCAAATTAATAATCAATATTTAATTTTTAAACCTTTAATATTGTTATATATACATATATTATTTTTTGTAAATGGTACTCGGTTAAGCTGAACAGCTCTGTCGAGGATTAATAAAATAAAGACCTTTATTATTATTATTTAGGAACAAATTTCTGGAACACCATTAATTTTAGCTCCATAAAAGATTCGTACTTTTTTAATTAAAAATGAACAGAGAATTAAAAAAAAGTATTTAAATAAAAAAATATTTGTTCCAGTGGCATAAAAATAGGGGGAAAAATTGCCACTAACTTTGATAGCGCATCACTGTTTAAATTTTCAAAAGTTAGTTTGTCAAAATATTTCTTACAAGAAAGTATTGGTCACCAAATTTGAAAAAAATATTTCAAACTTTAACACCTAGTACCTCGGTAACTATATACGTCCTTTAAGGGTCCATGTTCCTCTATCAAAATTCATCAATTATCGAGAGCTCAGGCAAAGAGTCGTCGTTTGCCACCCAAATTACTCTACACCTTATGGGGTTGGAAGTGTCTGAGGTGATTTTTTTTTTAAATGTTCGTCTTGAAATTGCCTATCGATCCCTCATTTTCGTTTTACGTCTTCATTTTCCGGAATTCTGATCCAAAAATTGGGTTTTATGCAAAAACATAGATTTCCCGCACGAAAGTGATCCTACGGTACACGAGATTGAAATTTTACAAAACTTTTTTATGGGAAAATGTTCGTCTTCAAAGACCCTAAAAGATTGTCTTTATCAAGAAAGTGAAATCCACAAAAAGTATTTAGTATAATTTGGGGAGTCTGACTGAGGTTTCTCACAATTTTGGTCTCTATGGTGGAGAAAATGAATTCCACAAACATGTTTATAACCTTTCAAAAACTGAGCTTTTTGAGAATTTATGGACTTGAAGGGACCTCAGGAATCCAGAAAATTTTTTGAGCATATTTACGTATATTCGTAGGTTTTGAATCAAAATGACCAAAAACAGAAAGATCAACATAGTGTCTAATAGTCAACCATCTATTAGATGCTGAAGACTTTCACTATCATCCATTTTTTTCGAAAAGTTCCAGGAGAAATTAATCATGGTTCATTAATGATGACCTATTATATGCAAAATGGCCACTTTTATCAAGAAATTGAATTCTTCGAAAAGTGTTTAGAACAATTTATGGAACCTTTCTGAGACTTCAGAATTTCTGGAAAATAGTCGTATCTGGACATTTTGTGAAATGGCCAAAAATTCTGGTAAAATTCGTGCGCATTCCTGGAATGAGCACAAACAATTTTTGTTCAATTAAATTTTTTCCAATACTATCCTGTTGAGTAAAACGCGCTTCCTGTTATTTGAAAATTTTTGGATGATTGACCATTTCAAGAGTAATGGAAAATTTTTGACCGTATTCCAAGTACAGAACAGAGACTTTTAGGGTCTTTGAAGACGAACATTTTCCCATAAAAAAGTTTGGTAAAATTTCAATCTCGCGTACCGTAGGATCACTTTCGTGCGGGAAATCTACGTTTTTTGCATAAAAACCAATTTTTGGATCAGAATTCCGGAAAAATGAAGACGTAAAACGAAAATGAGGGATCGAAGCGCCACTGTGCGTCGGTCGTACAAATTTATCATAGAAATATAAAACTGATTATTCAAGAAGATAAATGTTTAAGATCATAAGGGGTGTAAAATTTCCCTAATTCATAGTGCAAAACAGTAATAAAAAAACAAATCTGTGTATGTACTGACACATAAATAAGTTTTAATATTTTTATTTCTTCATCCACTGCTTGCTAGGCATGCCCTAGTCATTTTGCTACTTAATTTTTTTTTATCTTCTAATTAAATAGCCAAATTAACATCAGAAGATGGAATACTTACTAGTTCTTTTACTACTCCATTTGTATCTCCTTTAGAAATATAAAAAGTTTCACAGCACTTTAATAAATATAATTTATTATAAATAATAATAATAAAAAATTATACATTAAGCATGAATAGAGAACAAGTTTATATAGAAAAAATAACTAGTTAGAATATGGGGTCTATTCTGTAAATTTTTTTTTAAATTAACCCTAGGTTATAAAAATAACCGGATGTTATTTTGTATTATTTGGTTATAAATTACAACTTATGTCAGCAATAAATCTAGTAATGATTATGAGTAAAATATACTCTTTTTCTTATTTTTAAAGCTGCATTGGGCTTAATTTCAATTCACTTTTAGTCACTGCCATGTCTATTTTAACTGCGATTAGTTAAACAAAATTAAATTGATGGAATATCAAATAGAGAGTTGGGTTAAAATTTATACGCCATAGTTATAAATAACCTTTTAACCTGGCGGTTAAAATTAACTAAAACGTTACAGAATAGACCCCTATAAACTATATAAACTTTTCCTCACAAAAAAGCATAAGTATCAAAACAAATTATTCAAAAGTCATGAATTTGGCAAACTATTGATATATACACAATATCAGTTTTAAATACACTGTGTTCCATAAAATTGCGATCCATAAGAGATTTTTTTTTTAATATTACGATTTGAAAAAACTTCGTAGTGCAATCACCTCTGCTTATTTAAAAACTTAAAATGGCCCATATCAAAGTTGGTTACTTACATTAGATTTCTGTCAAATTGACTTTAAAAAAAATACTGAATTTGACCGATAACTAATGCAATATCTCTCCAACTTTAATATGGGCTATTTTATGCTTTTAAAAAAGCAGAGTTGAATGTCTGTTTTTTCCCAATGGTAATGTTAAAAAAACTCCCATATGGATCCAACTTTATGGAACACCACTGTATAAGAAATTTACAAAATCATTTTTAAAATATAAAATACTATTAAAGGTAAGTCTTAATTGAAAATTTATTTTAAAGTATATATTTTTTTAAATATCTTGTTTTATCATCAAGGTAAAAATTGTACTATGACATTAGTACTTAAACCTATTTTCAATCCCACATTTTAAAATAGGGCAATTCACGAGTTTTATTTATTGTTAGTATTCAAATAACTAGTACCAAATGGAAATTCAAATGTGATCAATGAAAACCGAGCATTAATTTTTTTCAACAGATGCATAAGAAAATGTACTTAAATCCTGAACAAATTTATAAGTTCACAAAACAAATAAAATTGACATTTTTGTCAAATAGCATTTTCTAGATAAATGTTTACAGAATGTTAAAAACAAGTGACTAATGATAAAAAGCAATTAATCACATTATTTGTAAATTTTATTTTTTATTAATGCAAATAACATAATAATTTAAAAGCATAATTGTTTGATTATACAAAAATGCAATTTTTACAAGTCACTATTTGACTAGTTTTGAAAGAAAATCTAACTTGTTTTCAAGAATTACCCTATATTAACCAATCTGTTACATTTTTTAACATTCCTACCAACATTCTCAGTGTCTAACCCTTAATGAGTTTTGAATGGCAGTACAAATCATTCAATTCATTTCACTCTACTTTTTAAAACTATATTGTTTTCATTTTGATGGCCTTAGTTCTGCTATTAGCACCTAAATTAACAGTATAAAGTCATTATTAAAACCGTTTTAAAAACTCTTCAGAGACAATTCTAGCTCTAGCATTTACAGCCAGTTTCATTTCAGATATCTCCTTATCAATTTCCTCCATGAAATGTATAACAAAATCCACTAATTTATGTTTGTACATCTGCTCCGTATGAAAGTTAGTGATAAGAAAACTTATATCGTAACCTTCTATGGGTTTTCTTCTAAGTACAATGAAGTTTTCTGCTCGCATCATCATAAATCGCATAAATTTCTTACACAGTATCTTCTCTATTTCATCAGCTTGTTTAACTGAAATACTTATTCTAATTGAATTCACAGAAGACTCTATTAGCACTTTTTCCTTTTCGTTCCTAGATATCACTACAGGATTGAGCAAAAGTTCTTTGGACGTCCTAACCTCTACTTCTGGTTTGTTGTGTCGTTCAACGACTTGGGACGAAAAGTTGTCCAAACACATTGCGGCCGTTAAAGTATGGCGCACAGCAGTTAAATAAGGCTTCAAAGTTGCAGACATTTTTGTTAAAGTTTTTAAATGACTAAAAACAACCACACCTCCCGATTTGTCAATCGCCGGTTGACGGGTTGTCAACGTCAGGTCAGCAGTATGACAGTTGATCTTTGATCCAGTGTTGCCAGAATTTTTTGACTACATTAGGTTCTTTCGTTCGCTGTTGGTGAAGTGTCCACCAGTGTAAATTACACCAGTTACACCACCTTATTTGCCCTAATTTACTTCATCCTTATTAATTATACACCGTTGAGTGTAATTCACTCCCGCTAAATAGCTGGTGGAGAAAATATCCACTAGTGGACACTACATCGTCGACAAGAAGGTATAGTAGTGGGCGTAGTGGGTTTTACACCGGGCCAAACGAACGGTTTAGTGTCCGTTGGTGTAATTCATTCCTACACCAGTAGGACGAACGAAAGAACCTTTTACACATACTTTTCAAAAAAGGTTCTTTCGTTCGTCCCACCGGTGTAGTTGGTTGTAGTAATTAACTACACCAACCCACACCCATTCCTTTCGTTTGGTCCGGTGTAAAACCCACTATACCTTCCTGTCGGCGATGTGGTGTACACTGGTGGATATTTTCTCCACCAGCTATTTAGCAGGAGTGAATTACACTCGACGATGTGTATAAGGAATAAGGCGGAAGTAACTTAGGGTAAATAAGGTGGTGTAACTGGTGTAATTTACACTGGTGGACACTACACCAATAGCGAACGAAAGAACCTAAAGTATGTGACCTTTTATGTCAAGTCCCCCCCTCAAAACAGTGGCGCGCATAACAAAATAGTAAAAAATCTTATAAATGAACAATTTTTTTATATTTTTAAGCAAAAAATAAAACATTTTTAGTCTAAAATATAAATAAAAAATATAAAGTTACAACAAAATCATCAAATTTAGATTAATACGCCTACTTATATAATTTCATGAAATATTTTGGACGGTAAACTGGGTGAACGAAATGGCCGAGGCAGATAAATAAATCACGGTTTTTATCATTAGTTGGAGGCCATAAAAAAACGAGTCCAATATTTGACACGTGACATTTCTAATCAGTGTTGCCAGCCTAGTACAATTGAACTATTGTTCTAAGATTCTGATACTCTAGTACACTCGAAGCAAAGTACATTTTCTTTTTTTCATCATATGGTTCCACTTGACGTGTAAAATATATTGTTTGGATCTTCCTTGTTTGGGTTCGTTGTCTATAAAGGCCTTTTTTTGTGAACCAAACGATCACAATCCGAAAAATCTGTAACAATTTATAGAATCTAGTACATTTTTATGAAATCTGGTATATTTTTTAAACAAATCTGGTACATAATAAAAATATATTCTGGCAACACTGTTTCTAATTGACAAAATTTGCAATTTGAGATTGAGCAAATTTGTCGAATCTTGAATCGTACTCAGCAAAATGGGTTTTTCAAACACAATTTATAATAGCATTTTCAAAAGAACGTCAACAATGGCCTTAGCTATAGTTGCTTCTGCATTTTTCTTCGAAAGAACTTTTGATTTAGCCACAGAGACATTTTTTGACAAATACAATGAGGGGGTATGTATTACATAATATAGTATATTAAATATACTTTATTGCTAAAGAATCTTCAATCCAAATATTTACAGATTTGAACATTGTTAATGAAAAACATGGTCTTGGTATTCATTAATAACTTCAAATAGATAAGTCTTGAAAAATTGTATTAAAATCTATAAAATCAAATTTCATAGTTTTGAATCTTTTAACCCTTTCAGTGTATTTGTTCCTCGAAAGGGACACTGTCTTAAGTAACCCTGAAATATGCATCTGTTAATTTTGGTAAAAAAAATATTTTTTTGGGTTTTACTTTATTTGCATATTTCTTAAATTGCTAATAAAAGATGTCAAAATTCATCCATTTAATGCTGTGAAAAATGTATTTTTGGCGGCATAAACGTTTATAATAGATTACTTTATTTAGATATATCTGATTGGTCTAAATAACAATCTATCATAAACGTTCATGTTGGTTTATGCCTTATGGTGACCCTGGAGAGGGATAAATCTACTTCAGTGGTCTTTTTTTTAATGAAAGTGGAACTGAAAGGGTTAAGGAAAACTTTCTAGGCTTAAAAATTAATTTGCACAAAAATTATAAAACTTACAAGTTGCAATCATTCCGTTGTCACCACTGGGCCCTTCAAGTTACATTCCACAAATAAATTGTATAAAGACTTATAGTTCTCCTAGGGCAGTGGTTCTTAAACTTTTTTGGTGACTCAACCTTTTTGAAAAGTGAAATATTTGACGGAGCCCTAAACTTGCTCTAGCCTTTACAAAAAAAAAAGGTGCTCAAGCGATAGTATTGCTTTTTTTTGTTCTATTATTTTCTTCGTGGAGCCTCAGGGCTCTGCGGACCACACTTTGAGTAACGCTGACCTAGGGTAATAATAATAATTGATATTTTTATTTTTCAGAAACTTTGGAAACACATCAAGGACAAATATGAATAGATCACCACATAATTATAATTTGTTAGTGTAATTTATTGTAAATAAAATAATAAAAATCATTATTGTTTATCTTACTCTTACACAGGTTTCAAAGACAATTACATCACTAGAACAAAATATATATATTTTTTTTTTAATTATTTACTTGGGTATGAACTGTGCATAATACAAGTTGAAACAAACTGACAAAATGTATTAAAATATTTAATAAATTTAAACTTAATCCACACTGACAGGAAATTTAATGACAATATAACCCTTTGGTTTTTATTTTACAGTAAGTAAATAATTTGTATTAATATTCACTGCATTATAAAATAGTTATAGTGTCTTGTGTTTAAAAATTTAACTCTCCTCATCAAAACTAAAATTCATTCAGTCACTTCCCAAGGTTTTTCTGGTCTATCGATATCCCAAGGTCTGCTGGGTTTGTACTGAGGTGGTTCTGTAAGACTAACTCCGCCTTCTTCTACAGCTTTAAGAAATAATGATACTTTATCATTTGGGCTATTTGGTTTAATGAAACAACTTATCTCAATCAGCCCAACTTGAAGACATCTTTGAGCTAAAACCTAAAATCCAAATTAATAGAAAACATTTTTAACAGTATATATTTAATTTGTTGGTAAAATATTAGATTAATAAAAAGATTGGCTATTGCTATTGAAAACCTTTTCAGACAAGAGTTTGTTTCCTAAGTCCAGTACCTGTATGTAGGGTTGCTAACTGGTTAGAGAGCTAAAGGAGGATACCGTTAGTACATGCATCATATAAAATAGCAGAGCTCGAAAAAAAAATAAACTTGGCAATTACAATGAATAAAAACAAATCTGGTCAGTGTGCCAAAACATTATATTATGCCTGAAATCTCAGATAACACCTAGGATTTTTGAACATCAAGATAAAAAGGACAAATTGAGTCATCCACGGAGGACATTTTGGTTCAAAGGATTGTCTTCCTGATTGGAGGACAGTTGACAACCCTACCTATAAGTGGTAGGACATATTTTTTTTTAACCTATTTGCTTTATTACAAAAAAAGCCACTAATTCCTTACAGAATCTGGAAGAAACTTTAAAATTTGATTTATAGTACTTTATATTTAAGAAGTTTTATGGTGAATAGTTGAAATCTGAAGCTGAATATAAAATAATTGACTGGCTGAACACCAATCTAGACCTAAAACTTCGCTCTAAAGTCATGGAGTCCTTTATTTGAATTCTTTTAAAATTACACCGTCATGACTTGAATTTTATGGAATTGCAAGATTAGTATTTGTTCTAAAATATTCTAAATAAATTACCCTTCCCAAGTTTACATAAGATGACGTATCTATTGTCCTATATAACTGCTTTTTAATCGCCCATTCTGATGTACTTGCTGTTAAGATTTCTCCATTTTGATAGTGGCAAACACTTGCTGTGACATATTTTCCGGACGATTTTAGGAGTAATCTAAAAGTGCGTTTGTTAGAATATTTAATAGGTCTGTTCCGGTTCTTCAGAAAGATGTTGAAAACTGTCCGAATACTACTTAGCTGATTAGCTGACCAGTGGAAAGTTTAAAAATTTTACGTGACGAATAATTTGATATTCAACTATTCTATTGGATCTCGGACGGTTCGCAGCACATTTTGAAGAAAACAGAACGAGCCTAATATAAATTTACTTGTGCCAAAATTGTTTGTCAGGATATTCTACATGATACCCATCAGGCTTATAACCTATTCGTAATCGTTCTAGATTTCTAGGATTTCGATTTGTAAAAATAGGAGATACTTTGTTTTTGAGTTGATTTATAGACGTGCTTGCAAAACGGCGTTTCACTTCTTTATTCAATAAAAAATTATTGTTTATTGTAGACTTGATCATTTTTGATTTTTTAACACAAAATATAACCTCAAACACAACTATGATCCATTAGTGACAGTGACATCAGTGCACAGACCATACCCTTTACATCAGGAGTGTGTTTAGAAACCCCGCACGGCGCGTCTGGGCCCTATTCTAATGCATGTGGTCAGACGCGCCGTGCGGGGTTTCTAAACGCACTCTAGTGTTTTAGTTTTTCTATGGTGTTGGCAACCTGAAAATTCTAAAACCGGTAGATTATTTCGTCAAAAATCGGTAGATTTAAAAAAAAGGAGGCAAATTTGGAAAACGAGGCAAATTTGAAAAAAAAAAATTTAAAATAGAAAACACAATTTGAATTTTACAAAAAATACAATGGGAAAAAATATTTTTTTTTGGTGAACGTACAAAAAGAGAATAACACAAACACATTAAAAAATAAAAACCTTGTGACCTTGGGTCCATATTTATAAACAGATATCAGCAAAGTCCGACGTGCTCCGACGTAGCTGAGTCGTCCTTGCCTTAAACGAAGTTCGATTATATCGCGTGAATTTAGAGATGGGTAGTAACAACTCCGTAAATGTACTTAATAGTAACAGATTTGCTACTATCTCTAAATTCAAGTGTAACACCGGAACCACCTGGAACTTCAGAGACGTTGTAAACGAACTTCGATTTTAGTTTAAGGATGACTTACCCAAGTCCGACTCTGAGTGGACCTAATGCTGCGTTTGAGAATCCACATCGGATCAATGAACTGGAGGGGGGTAGAATGCCAATGTACATGTTGTACTATTAGAACAAGGTGCGACTCGATGGGCGCAGCCATTTTTATTGTTCATCTCACTCGGGAGTATTTATAATAACCATTTTCTGTTTCACATTGTTATTGTTCAATCCACAAGCTGGTGGATCAGACAATAACAATGTGAAATAGAAACTGGCTATTTTAAATACTCCCGAGTGAGATAAAAAATAACCTATCTTCGCCCATAGAGTCGCACATCAAGTCTATTGACAAGCATTCTACCCCACTCCAGTTCATTGCATCGGATGCATCTGAGATGTAAAAAATCTTTGATCACGTGATTCAGTATACGTAAATGTAATGGGACAGATGTGTCAGATGTGGATAAAAAAACGCTCGAGATGTAAAAAATGCATCCGATGTGGATTCTCAAACGCGGCATAAGTATGTAGAATTCAAGATCCAGGGACGCAATGAAAAATTAAACATCATGACTTTACAACCCAAAATAAAACAATTTGTAGGTTTTTTGGCGTAAAATTACAAAACCACTTACAGAAGGGTACTATATAAACTCTAATAACTCTACAAATCAATTCAACTCAAAACTTATTAAAAAATAATATGGAAAACACTGCAAAAATGATCGCTTAGCATCATATCAACTGCTTAAGAAACCTGTTTCTCTGATTTTAAAACATGTTTGACGACGATGAACACGGTCATTGTAGCGGTATAGAGTTCAGTGGCATAAATCGAACGCTAAAAGGGTCGTTTGGAGTTAAAAGTGATGAAGGAGTGAATAGAACTTGTCCGTCCGAACTTACCTCTTATGAGTGTCAAGTGTCGGTACTGTCAGTGTCACTGTCAAACACGTGTCAAATAAAAAGTATTTAAAATCAAAATCGGCTAAATTTTTAATTTCCTCTGGGAACAGAGAATTACTTGAGAAATATGTACATGCATATTTTTTAGTTAAATATTTATATATTATTTATGGAGGTATTATGTTTTCAAATGACAAGGTGGACCGTTGAAATCCTAAATAAATACTGATTAGGATACTTTCCATAAATAAACTTATTAAAAAAGTTAAGATCAGATCAAAGTGCACAAGATCAACTCTGAAGGATGGCTCTTTTCAAGAATACTATAATAAAACTAAGTGAGTATCTTTTATGTATTATTTTACATACAAATTACAATAAGTTTAAAACAACTATATGCTTTGGAGCAAATAAAATTACCAAAATCTATCTTGAACATTACATTTAATAACTAATTGTAGAATTTATTGTACAATTTTTATGAATTTGTGTGTTAATTGTTTAGGAAAACAGTAATTTTTATAAAGTAGTTAATGATAAAAAGAATAATATTGAATAAACTGTACATTTTAGCTCCCTATAAAGTTGGATATTATCATTTAATTAACTCCTGTGTAAGATATTGATATGTACTTAGTTGACATGCTTAAGAATACAAATTTTATCTGTGTATAATATTATACCGGAAGTAAGCAAAAAAAAATGAATGAATACTATTAAGTACTTTTATAATTGTATGCCAAAACAGATTGAATGAAACAAGAACATAATGAGCTATTAAGATTCAGGTTATTGTGATTTGAAGGAACATTTTTCTTTATAAGCTATTAATTAACATAATTACTTTGTACTATGAATGCCAAGAATAATTTATAATTTAAAATGTTGACTATGGGTAATATAATTTGAGAATAGAATTTTTTTATGAATACATTTACTGAAGGTCATGTTCTTAAAAAATAAAACAAAATTTTGGGCATAAGAGGTTTTTCAAAAAAGAGAAATATATAGTATATAGAACTCATTAAATCTAAGAATATGAACACAAAAATCAATTTTTCATTTAATTTTTGACAAATATATATTAAAGGAATATTGATTAAATTATAGCCAGCAGATTTTATTTATTTTAAAGAACAATATATGAAGTAGTAAACATTTTCTTGATTTAAATCTGGAAATAAAAACAAAATCAGTATAAACATTAAAAATATATTTATCTATAGAAAGATTAGAAATGATGAAATTGCAGATTAAACATTTTCTCAAAATAATAATTAAACAATTTATGGTTTAAAAAAAGACAAGTCAATTACAATTTGCTCTAAATATATTTATCTATAGAAATATTAGAAATGATGAAATTACAGATTAAATATTTTCTCACAATAAATATTAACAATTTATGGTTTAAAAAAAGACAAGTCAATTACAATTTGCTGTTTCAATTTTATGCTTTTATGTAAATTAAAGATATATAATGGTAAGAAAAATGTTTTACCTGTTTTCCTAATAACTAGACTCAATTTAATCTATTTTAACCTTTTCTCCACACATAAGTAAACTACCGTCCTGTATCTATTCTGTCAAATTTCTCTAAAATCTTCGAGATTGTTATTTACAATCACATATATCCGTCTGTTCGCAACCTAATATCTCCTTCACAGGATGGTTTCTTAAACAAAAAGTCTACTGATAGTAATTTACTTATAATAACTCAACACTTATCTGAAGTGATTGATACAGGTGGGCAAGTGGGCATCGATTTTTCGAAGATTTTTGACAGAATGGTTCATGGGATATTAATTGATAAGTTAAACCAGTTTAGTTTTTCTCAGGCCTTCATGAGATCCTGTAAATCGTATCTTCTGGAAAGGCAGCAATTTGTTTTTCATGACAGTTATTCTCCACAAGTGTACTTCGCAAAATCAAGTGTCCCTCAAGGTTCAAACCTTGGACTGTTGCTATTTTTGTTATTTATTAATGATCTCAATCACCATTTAAATTATTGTAGACCTATTTATGCAGACTATTTTAAAATATATCTATTAGTACTAGACATGTATAACTGTTTAGCGCTTCAGCAGGACCTAGATATATTATCAGATTGGTGCCAAAATAGATTAATGCTAATTGCATCTAAGTGTAAAGTGATGGTATACACTGGAAAGAGATCTACTACAGATTTCTATTATAATATTAATGGTTTACTTTTGTCACATTGTTCCCCTATCACTGATCTGGGTGTCACTTTTGACTGGAGACTGAGTTTTATTGAGCATATTAATACAAAGGTTACTGATGCAAACAAAATGTATGGTTTTGTTATATGAAATTATCGTGGATTCAGAGACATTGAAGCATTAAAGGCTTTATACTATTCATACATCTGCACTAAGCTTGAGTACTGTTCGACTATCTGGTACCACTACGGTAATATTCACATGATTAGTGTTGAATCTGTTTAAAGGAAGTTTTTGAAATATTTAGCTTTCAAAGTAAATGATGTCTACCCTCCAAGAGTAATCGATTAACAGCTACTTTTCTAGCTTTTTTGACTTTTTTTTACAAAATCACGAATAGATTAATTGACTGTTCTGTTATTTTAGTTAAAATTAATTTAAATATTCCTCGGTATAATAACAGACATCATTTAACTATCAGATATTTTCACAGAAAGGTTGGAAAGTATTAAAGCAGTTGCTTGTACCAATTATGGACAATGCTTAATTTTTTTTTTTGTTATCTTTTATATTTATTTTGTGTTCACTGTTTTTCATAATATCCATATATATTTGTCACCTTAACTATATTTTTAATGATTTTTTGGGTTGTTCTGTAAAGGGATTTATATCTGTTGGGCTATTATTATTAGTGTATTATTGTTATTATAATTATTGAATAAATTGAATAGGTATCTGTAAGGTGGGTTGCTCCTCAGCACGTAGGCCTCCTAATGTCCATTGCGCATCCTTCAGGGGCATATAGCACCTGCCTCTCAACTTGACAGCTGAGGGGTGTATACAGGCAGCCATCTTCTTAGATTGTCAAAGTTCTCTAGGTTAATAATTCATCAAAAACCTCCTGATTATCGTTGGGGAGTGTCTAGGGATAAGCAGCCTTTCAGGTCAAAGACTTGCCCCATTTATGGGAAGTGGCCATTTGGTGTGCTACTACCACTTGGATGGTAAAAGCCTGGGTGAAGCCATTCTATCCACCTGCTCTACTAAAAATATATATTATAATTATTGAATGAACTGAATATGTATAAATATATAAATATTTTTTAATTTGCTTCATTGCCATCAATACGGGTATCTGAACCATTTTTTTCATTTTATTTTAACTTTTAGCATCCATTACAAAACACAGGGGCATCGCTTCCTTGAGTGCCCTTTCAGAAACCCATCAAATGCTACAAAAGACATGTAGAGACTTTGCAGATGGAGAATTGAAACCTATTGCAGCAAAAATTGATCGTGATCACTTGTATCCTAAAGAACAAATTAAAAAAATGGGTGAACTAGGTCTTATGGCAATGACTGTGCCAGAAGAATATAATGGTTCTGGTCTGGATTATGTAGCATATGCTATAGCTATGGAGGAAATATCTAGAGGGTTAGAACCATGTATTTGTGCTTAAAAAAAGACGAAGAAAACTGCTTGAACTTTGATTAATTATATTCAATTAACATAAATATAATAGGAGTAATCAGTTAAGGGTAATCTTGTAGTTTAAGCGGATAATAATGCTCATATCTGCACCACTCTGCACTGATGTTTAGAATTTGAATTTTACACCTACCACGCTAGATTTATATTCCTGTTTCTCAGTTTTTTATCTTTCAATTTTGAGGGCAAGAAAAATATGTGTTTCACAAAAAAAAATACATTAAAATCTAAATTACAATTACAAATTACAATCACAATAATTATTATTAAGTATAACATTTTTAAAGTTGCAAACAACTAAATTATAAATTATATTATTATATCAATTATATTATAGTTATATATAAAAATACTAAAAAAAAATGAGTTAAATCTTATAAACTAAGTGTATTGCACCTAAGTGATCAAGCACTTGTATTGTGCAATGAACAAAATATTATAAATACACAAAAAATTCAAGTTTACAAAAAAAATTAAAAATTTAATGCTTAATGCGCCATGTGTTATGCTTCAATCAACCAGTCTGTACAATTTATAAAGGACAAAATGAATAAATAGAAAAAAATAAACATAAAATAAACATTGCATGTTATAATAATAATAATGTGTCCAAGTACTCACTATTTCCGTATATATATTATTTACATTGAAAAACAAATTTCATAAAATTTCTAGTTGATTTAGCTTCTTGGGGCAAGGAGTTGTACAATCTTGGTGCCAAAATGCAAGCAAATCTTTGATTAGCAGCGTCATATCTAAAGGGAACTATCAACTTATTATTAGTTTTATCTCTTGTTACACAATGATGATTTATATAATTTGTGGTTTTAGATTTATAGCAAAAGATACAGTTACTGAGGTAGTACAAGCCTCGGATATTCAAAATGTTTACATTATATAACATGTGGGTTGAGTAAAGTCTATTTTTGAAAAAGATTATGCATAGTATATAATTTTGTACAACATTCAACTGTTTCAGTACATTGTCATAAACCCCCCCCCACACGATATTACCATACCTCAAAAGAGACTCCACCAAGGACTTGTAAATTTGTATTTAAAGTTTTTGAGGTACAATCCTGCGTATTATATAAAATTTATGTATTAAACGTCTAATTTTGTTAGTTAGGTCTTGAACATGGTTTGTCCATTTCAAATTTGTGTCTACTGTAATGCCTAAATATTTAATAGTGTTTGTTTCTTTAATCGTTTATTTTAATGTAGTCAAAATTCGGTCTGTTGGCCTCATTCAAAGAGAAAGCTATGTAAAAAGTTTTATCTGTATTTAAAGTTAATTTATTGCAGTCAAGCCAATGATTAATAGTTTTAAAGCCTTCGATCACTTTATTTTGGACAATTTGCCAGTTTTCCGCTTTAAAAGTTAGGACAGTGTCATCGGCATAAGAGATGGAGATTCCATTTATGTCTAATTTTAATAAGGAGTTAATATATATTATAAACAGGAGTGGTCCAAGGACTGTCCCCTGTGGTATTCCAATTTTTATCTCTAGAGGATCTCTGTAGATATTTCTGCTTTTTACCAGCTGGTTCCTTTTCTGTAGGTAGTTTTCTAAAAGCTCCAAACACTACGCCTATGACACCGTAATGCTCCAAGACATTAATGAGCTTATCATGGGGAACAGTATCGAAGGCTTTCGCCAAATCAAGAAAGACACTTATTACTTTTTCATTATTATCAAGAACATTTTTTATGTTATTTACTAGTTCAAACATGGCATCTGCTGTACTGATCCCATGCATGAAACCAAATTGATTATGGTTTAGTATATTATTAGAAGTTAGATAATCACAAAGTCTCTCTTTCATACTCTTTTTAAAAATTGTTGCAAAGTTGGAAATGACATTTATTGGACGGTAATTGGTAATATCGGCTTTATTACCTTTTTTAAAAATCGGCGTGACAATAGATGTTTTAAATGGAGCTGGTACTTTACCGGTTGTGAAAATAATATTTATAATGTGAACTAAAGGTTCTAACAAGTATTTATGATTTTTTATTTATTCTTCTTGCTGAAATACCATCAATACCTGGAGCACTATTATTTTTTAAACTATTAATATGCATAATGATTTCTTTATTAGTGACTGGCTTTAGAGCCATAGAATTGATTAAATTTGGATAACTTACATTGATATCTGTAATAGGTTGTTTTATTTTTTCCGCCATCTTAAGTCCTATGTTTACGAAGTAGTTATTGCAAAAATTTGCCATTTCATTGTCATTATTAAATGACTTTTTGTTTTCATCTAGTACATTAATATTATTATTAGTTTTTTTATTTTTTTCATTTGTTGCTTCAGATATTGTCATAGATTTTTTTAATATTATTTGCATTTTCAATGATTTAATTTTTATAGTAGTTATACTTTGTTTAGTTTATTTCTATATGTTTTATATTCTTGAGTTAAGATCTTATTATTTATGTCTTTTATTAACATTTTTTTAATTTGTCTATGTTTTATTGATTGAATTAAGCCATTTGAAATCCAGGGTTTAAGTTTTTTCTTAGTGTGAATAAATATAGTTTTAGAAGTGTAACATTCATTATATATGTCTGTAAAGGTATCTGAAAATGTTTGATAGGCCAGTTCAGGGTTTTCTTCGGATAATACATTGTCCCATTTAATTTTTTGAATCATACTTTCGAATTTAATTTCGTCCAGAGTTCTTATAGTTTTGTTTTCAATAATTTTGTTGAAACTAGTACTGTCAGCATAAGTAATATTTAAGTATATTGGAAAATTATCAGTGATATCGGTATCTATAACCAATGCATCAAATATAAGATTGTTTGTTTCTAAGTTTTTTTTTTTATAAAGATATCAATACAGGAATTGCTGTCTGGAGTCACTCGGGTGTAAGAGTTACTGGTGCTATAATGTGGATAATATAAAATTGCCACTAAAATTAACAACCTAAACAAAAAATATATCATAAGCGACAGGTGGATACATTTATATTAAACATTGAGCACCTGCAATGTTTAAAAGGTTTTACAACTTTGGCTATAGAATAAAACGTAAGCGACATAATTAAGATATTTTAAGAAGACTATGGTGCATATATGATGGAAAACTTTTTAATACAAATTTTATGTTTTATGAGTTTTGTAGAATACGATATTTTTTTTAGTCGATAGTAAGCTATATCGACTCGGGCAACACCAAAATAATCCCAGTTTTGCAAATAATGTCGCTTACAAAACTTTGCCTGGACAGAGATGATATGCATTAATACCTGCCTAAACTACAAGATTATGCATTTAGTCTTTAAAATTTTTTTAAGAAAATTAAAAATAATATACTACACCTCTATCCATGTGTGTTTTTTAATTGTTACATATTATTATTTATTTTTAGTTGTGCTAGTGCTGGTGTTATAATGTCTGTAAATAACTCTTTGTACTTAGGATCACTACTTCAGTGGGGTACTAAAGAACAGAAAGAGAAGTTTATGGTACCATTTACAAAAGGAGATAGGGTTTGTAATTTATTTTGAAAAATCATTTTTATATGCTTCACGTTTAACTAAAATATAGATTTACAAAATAATTTATTTTCAAACAACTATTTTTAGGTAGGTAGTTTTGCATTATCAGAACCTGGAAATGGGTCTGACGCAGGTGCAGCCTCCACTACTGCCAAAGAAGATGGTAATAATTTTATTTTAAATGGTACAAAGTCTTGGATTACCAGTGGATATGAAAGTGAAGCAGTTATAGTTATGGCGACAACAGATAAAAGTTTAAAGCACAAAGGTATATTGTTTATATTTATGTATTTTTAGTTAAAATCCTTTATTTTTGGATTCTCCAACTTTACAAACAATACAAATGGAAAAAATTTCAGTAACAAATTTGTTGGGCCAGTGTTGCTTAATAATGAGTAATATAACTTCCACAGTCTTTGCTATTATTTATATTACTCTTAAATCTTACTGGGTCGTAGATAAACATATTTTATTTTTTACCAATTATTGTTTTTCTAAATAAAAGTATTTTTTCATTATATATCTTGCAATTCATTCTTCTAGTTCCCTATTTGTATTAAAAAAGATTTAATAGCAATTAAACATCCTTATAAATCATATTTCTCTTATGTTAATTCGTTGAAAAAATTTAGGTATCTCTTCATTTATTGTTCCCAAACCAATTCAAGGCCTAGAACTGGGTAAAAAAGAAGACAAATTGGGTATTAGAGGATCATCCACGTGCAATTTAATATTTGAAAATTGTAAAGTGCCAAAAGAAAATTTATTAGGAAAACCTGGAATTGGTTTCAAGGTAAATCATTTTTTTTATAGTAAAAGTATCGGACAAAAAAATATGCATAAATCAAATTAAATAAAAATTCTTTTTTAAAATTGACAAACATATAATACTGCATTATGTAACTAAGTTTAAAAACAGTTAATACCCTGAGTTATGTACCATAAGAATTATGTAAAAAATGACAAAAGTTACAACAAGTTTTTCTTGATTTTTCAAATATCAAATCCTCTGGAATATGTATCAAAACTACCTGACTCTTTCACTACTTAGTACGTTTTACCTTCACGGCCATCAATTGTTTTTAATTAACATGTTTGGTCGTTTTCAGTTTTACTTGAAAATGGTTTGATTTACATTTAAAGCTGGTGCAAATTGCACAGCATCAAAGTCATAGTTTAGATTAAAAATACAAAAGGGTCCAACGATTTTTTCCAAACTTAGGGGAATATTTGCCTGGAAAAATATTTAATGTTGATACAACGGGTTTCGGAAATTGATTCTACCACAGAAATGTGTTGCAAAAAAAAGAAAAATATTTACCTTCTGTTTATACAAGTCACAAATTAAGAAGTTTTAGATAAAAGTTTACTCCTGCAACTCAGGGTGGCATTGTACTGTATTATAAATAATTTTAAAATGTATTTTCTGATTATCGTGTTATGTATATCATCAGTGTGCATGAAAAGTGACATCCCTATTTTTGCTTTACGGATAAAATATCTTATAGTCCTAGAGCAAACGTGCAGATTTGTGACTTATTTTCTTATGGCTGATTTTTTTATTAAATTGTACTATGATACGTGTCCAACGAAATCACGAAAACGCGAGCTTCAGACCTGGTATGTGCCTCTTGAAAACTCAAGTTATTTTCTTAATACGTTTGTCATTTTTATTCGACGATAAGTGCTCACCTATAAGAAATATTAAACACTCCACCAATTTCGCTAGGCCATTTTTTTTTCTCCAACGTTTTAAAATAGGCAGTGAGTAAGCATGCGCCTGACTTATTTTCATACGGCAGATATTTGGATTGTATTTCAAGTTTTTGTTATATGTTTCACAAAATTCCACCAATTTCACTGGACCATTTTTTTTCCAACGTTTTAAAGTGGTGCGTGAGTGGGCATTGGTGTGACTTATTTTTTTAAAGCTGAATTTATTATTAAAGTGTACTACGATACGTGTCCAACGATTTCACGCAAGCGCGACGTTCAGACCGGGAAGCTTAGGTAGTTATAGGCATTACAAGTGTTACGTGCCTCCGAAAATTGACTTACTTTCTTAACATTTTCATTATGCTCGTTCGACGATAACTGCCCACTTACAAGAAATATTAAACCATCCACAGGGCCATTTTTTCTCTGCAATGTTTTAAAGTAGTGTGAGTGGACATGTGGATGACTTATTTTCTTATGGCTGATTATCTGTTTATTTTCAGGTTTTTGTTATGTGTTTCACAAAAGATACCTCCTCCACCAATTTCCCTGGGTTGCGGGTAAGTCCAAACTGGATGTTTGTACCAAAGCAAGATAAAAGTGATTAGATTTTCACTGTATTAGTGTTTGATGAAAATATTGGGTCATTTTTAATGCGTAACAAAAATAAAAAATATATTTGGTTTTATACAAACGCAATAAACTGACAAATATTTTTCACCAGTTTTTGGGGTCACTGAGAGTGAATTTAAAAATCTTTACTAGTCATTTTTAATGTCTAAATTGTCTGGTTTAATCATAAAAAACAGTGTTATTAGTTATTTTTATTGAAACATTTCATAAACACAATAAAACCAATATTTTAATACGGATTTTGTCATACTCAAACAATACAAGGTGGTCAAATTTAACATTTATGAACCAACACATTTAATATTACAAAATGATGCAAATTTAAAAATCTGTAAACAATAAAATTAGATGACAGCTTTGTTTTCAGTGACATCAAAAACACCTGATTGATTATTTTCATACATTTAGACAAATACTTTGTCAAGTTATTGCTTTTTTATATTTAAACCACTAATATTTTTTAAATTCTTTATTTTCGTTGGACACGAAAATCGGCCCATTATTTTTAATGGACATTAATGCAGTGAATAGGTATCATGTTCATCTTGATTCGGTACAAGCGTCCACTTTTTGAAAATAAGTCACACACATGCCCACTCACGCATTGCTTTAAAATGTGGAGAAAAAAAAATGGCCAAGTGAAATTTGTTTGAGGAGGTGAATTTTGTGAAACATATAACAAAAACTTGAAATACAATCCAAATATCTGCGGTATGAAAATAAGTCAGGCGCATGCTTACTCACTGCCTATTTTAAAACGTTGGAGAAAAAAAGTATCCCAGCGAAATTAGTGGAGGGTTTAATATTTCTTGTAGGTTGGCACTTATGGCCAATAAGCATAACGAAAATGTTACGAAAAATATAATGCTTATTCGCTCCGTGCGTGAAAGCAGCGCCAATATATTTATGTACTAATGGACTATTTTTGCCTATACTGACAATACAATTTTTAATAGAATTCGTAATTAAAAAGTATATATGTTAGTTTTGATAAAAGTATATGGATTTGTAAAACAAGTGAAACATTAATTTATTATTATTATATTTTTATCGCTTAAACTAAAAAAAAAAACTAAGTATAATTAATAAAAATCAATAATAAAATATAGACTGGCAACAGTGTTTACGGAAAAATGTATGAGAAGTTGCCTAAGTCTAATAAGTTGTCTTTAAAGAATTAACCTATTCTGTTAAAATAAAAAATAATAATATTAAATAATAGCGTGAAGTTAAAATGTATAAACAGAAGGATTGTTATTGATATTTTCATTTTTGTTCGAAAGAAAACATAGAATGAATGATTAAAACTGGTTTCCTATCAGTAAGTCACAAAATTGCATTCCAGCCACATACAATAATCAAAGACAGAAATCTAGTTCTTCCTGAACATTTAAGATTAAAGGGATGTTGAAGGAAACATACTAATCTGCCTCCCCTTTCATCCATTTCACATGACAGTCACCCACTCAATTTCTTTAAATGGCGAGAGGTAGTGATGTAAAATTCTCGAGCATGTATTGTTGGAGAACATTTCCTGAGCACCTACAAAAATAAACGAGTATAAACGACATTTGCAGACACAGACAATAACTAGACTAGAGTAGCATAATTTTTATTTACAAATTTTAAAAGACAACAACATTCCACCATAACGATCACAGACAAACTAACTAACAGCTCACGCCGACTGGGTAATTACACAAACCAGTCGGACGGGGACTGAACGGTAGACTAGCCATCGAGGCAACAACCGCGATTTTTGCGAAAATTGCCGCGATGGAAGGTCTATCGATCACTCAGCCAGTGAGTTGTACTACACAAACATAGACTTAATCAACAAACGCACACACAAGGACAACCCTGTTTTTTCTAGCTTTTTCAGGGGACAATAACCAGAACAAAAACACGACAAATCCTTTAAATAACATTCCATTCCTGATTCCAAAAGACCCCAAAATCCCCTAATAATACCGCTCAGGTAAGGAGTAAGGGCTGCTACGTTTACCAGAAATATTTAGTCGTAAATAAATATTGTAAATGGCGGATATACTCTATCCTCCATAGTCCGGAGGGCTCGCGTGAAAAACCCGCCGCTCGGGTTCGGTAGTGTGGTGAATGCAATATTTATTATATGACATGTACATAAATTTTTAATTGTAAATAAAGTTTTCTAAAGTAAAGTAAGAGTATAAACGAAATAACATTAGAATTTATGTTTGGAGAGTAGTTAAGTATTCAAAAACTTTTCCCAGTTTTTTTCTGAAAATGCTCAAAATTCTCACTTCATAAGAAAATGACACTGTGTTAATATTCTTTGTTGCGAATAATACAGTTATATAGTTTTTTGACAAATGTCAGGAAGTAACTGGAGAACTTTTTGAGCTCCTTATGTAATAATTTATAGTCCATTATTTTTATAATTTATGAATTTTGAAGATTTAAGTAGTAGAATACTTTGTTTATTTAAAATTATTGTGTCATATAAGATCTTATTTGAATTGAGGCCTTCAAGCCCTTCCCAACAAAGAGCACATGAACCCCCTTGCTATTTAAACAAATTGAGAGGGTAGCTGTCACGTGAAAGGAATGACAGATTATTTGTTATAAAATAAAAATTGACGGGTCCGAGCATTTTTCATCTTTATTTTAAATAACGAAGTTTACATTGGGGGTATGATTTATAATCCACACTGTATACTACTCTTGTATGTTTGCATATAATTTAGTAGTCACATTAATTGTCCAGAATTATTGAACTATTTAAATTTTTATATTCCTAAGTTTGAAAGCAGACTCAGCGTATGTTTCTGATAGATTGGTGATAATTTTTAAGCAGTCACCATTGATTTCTGTCTATAATAACTTTTGCATGATATTTATTTTACTTAAGGTTTTTTAATATCATTGTATTTTTATACCTTTAGTTGTTTAAAATATACCACACTTTATTATTTTTTTTTCTTTCTGTGTATTATATTTTCATATATTTCCAACATTACTTTATTTGAATTTTATTCATTTTATTTTATTCTGTAATTGGATTTTTCTGTTGATCGGTTTTAGTGTTCCCGTACCTGTCTGTCACAGGTGTTTTATTTAGCTACTATTTGATGTACACGATTAAATTTTGAAACCTTTGTAGTAGCTAGTGGCCCAAATACAGGAGTTTACTAAAAAAGTAGATTTTTTATGTAGGGGTCAGGTTTTTAGGGGAGGAGTTACATTGAAAGTTATAAATAATCTTTCAAAGTAACTGAAAAAAATCACGATCTAGTTATTTTAAAACAACTACAATATTAAATTATCAGTGGATTAAACCGTTCTCCTAAAAAATAACCATTTTCTCGTGAACCAAAGATAATGTAGTTTGGAAATACTTTAATGCAGTGTTGTTTTGTAGCTTGCTATGATGGGGTTAGATGCTGGAAGAATAGGAATTGCTGGCCAAGCTCTTGGAATAGCTCAAGCTTCACTGGAGGTAAATATATTGTTTTATTTTATGTAGGTACAATCAGCGCAACCCAAATGTGAATGCTCTTTGGTTTTCATGGAATTTTTTACTGAAATGTATTCCTGTAAATCTGGATTTGACCAGTTGTTTTACAAAAATATATTACTATTATTAATGCCGTTTTTAACCGACTTCAAAAAAAGAGGAGGTTATCAATTCGTCGCAATATTTTTTTTTTTATGTATGTATGTATGTATGTATGTATGTATGTATGTATGTATGTATGTATGTATGTATGTATGTATGTATGTATGTATGTATGTACAGCGATAATTCTTTAACACGGTCTCCGATTTCAATGATTCTTTTTTGTTAGAAAGAGGGTACTTCAGGGGTGCTCCCATATAAATTTGGTCAAAATCAAAATTGGGTCCATGAGAAAATCCTCAAGTTCTTCATTTTTTATGTATGTTTAGCGATAATGCTTTACCACCTTGTCCGATTAATATGATTCTTTTTTTGTTAGTAAGGGGCTACCTCAGGGGTGGTTCCATATAAATTTGGTTAAGATGTGGTGATGGCATCTGCACGTTTTTGAAGTCGGTTTTTTTTTAATTTTTAATTTCTAATACTTGTGTCAAATCGGTCTTATCTACAATAATAGTTCAATAAAAAATTAAAAGAATGTAAAATTATAAAAAGTTTATTTATTAAAAAATTAAATTAACTTCTAGGCATATAAAACTACAGAAAGCTTTTATTTTGTATTATAGAAAATCAAAGGCTATATCAAAATTAATTTAAATTTGCATTTGAACATTTTATTGCAAGAGAAAATCAAAAGCTAAATTAAAATTGGTCAAAAATTGGTCTTTACGTGAGTGGGTGCTGAATTAAATGTCGGTAATAGTGGCATATTTTATGTTAAGAAAGAATAACAAAGATTGTGAAGACCTTTAAAACAAGGTGTAGGAAGGTATCTAATGAAAATGAAGTCAATGATCTAGAAATTTAACAGCTATAGCAAGAATAGTCTTATTAATATTTTGTTGCAGAGCCATTGGTTGCCACAAGACTTTCCAATCTTAGCAAATTAAATGTCTCATGTTGTAGGAATCTACCAGCTCTTCCAAAGCATTTTCAATAACTTCCCATAGTTGACTGCGATTTGTTGGCTTAAAATCAATTGGTTATCTTTTAGACTAAGAAAATCCATACATTTTCAATGGGGTTCAAGTCAGGACATTTTGGTGGCCATGACAAAACATTAATTTCGAGCCTTATGAAATGGAGAATTATTCTGTAATAAAAATCAAATATAAATATTTACGAGTGTACCAAACTGATTTCTTACATGTTGAAAAGTAAAATAGTCAGGAAATACTGCTCTTACTGATGGCAAGGTCACATTGTCCAAGATGAGTATGTAACGCTCTGCTGTTAATCACCCATCAATTTGCGATCACATTCCAGGTCCTTTAACGCTTATCCACGTCCTTATATTGATGGAAAATCACCTACTGTTATTAGTACCGTATGTATAATTCTCGTCTTCAAATCTTGAGTTTCAAGTATGATAAACCCGTAGACTTCTGCTGTTACAAGATTGGAACCACTTTTCATCGGAGAATACCATGTCGTTCCAAAATCCCTCCCCGTGAATTAAAAATACATTTGCAAAAAGGACTCTTCTCCACTTATTATCTACATTTAAAAATCTTTGCGGATTACATTAGCTTTTTTAAGTCGGCTTGTTTTAAACGCATTTAAGCTGTTCTGAGAGATCCTGGGAATAATGTTTTATCGAGTGCTTTCACAGCGGTTCTAAATGGATTTTGATATATCCTACGAAAGCATTGGCTACATTTTCATTAGAGATCTTCCTATATTTTGTCTAAAAAGTTTTCGCAATCTTTGTTCTTTTGGCCAGCATTTCTTAACGTAAAATGTGCAACTTTTACTAGCATTTAATTCAGCAGCCACTTCACTTAAAGACCAATTTTCTTTCATTTTTGCTATAACCCTAGACTTTTGAGCCTCAGTTAATTTTTAAGAACTGTCAAATTTGAATGCGATGAACGCCTATGATGCAAAATCTTAATCACACCATTAAATTTTGGCTTTCACTTTTCGTCAACTGTACATAAATAAAAATACAATGGTTGTACTAGCGGGGAAGTTTATTGTAATGACTATTAAGCTATGTACTTGTAAATGTAATCAGATCATTGTTCCATAATGTTATAATTTTCGTTAAGCTGAGCGTTTTGCTTACTTTCAAAAGTTAGGTTATTTATAGCATGTATTCCTTATATTCAAAATTTTTGTTTGTTTTCCGCAAGCCATTACCGATATACTTTGGCATTTTGGGTATTTAAATAATTTACAGAAGTTCTACCTCAAAAGCAGATTCAAATTTTCGATTCCAATCTTTAATGATATCTGTAGACACGTTAAATTTACTCTCATTCATGGCTGGTGGTTGTATGAGGCTAAGAAGTTATAAAGTAATGCCATGTACATTTACTAAGCAAAACCAAAGCTTGTGGTACCTAGTTCAAATACTAGGTAGGTAAAAGCCATGCGGGCAATTTTTAAAAAGAGACTTAAGTTTTAAATGTTGCTCTAGCATTGCATGTTTGCTTTATTTCAATTAATAATTCCAGGTGGCTGTAGAATACGCATCTAAACGATTAGCATTTGGTAAACCTCTTACTAAACTACAGATGATTCAACAGAAACTAGCAGAAATGGCTTTGAGATTAGAATCTGCACGATTACTGACATGGAGGGCAGCATGGCTCAAAGATAACAAATTACCATACACAAAGGAAGCTGCAATGGCTAAGTTGGCTGCAAGTGAAGCTGCTACATTTTTAAGTCATCAATGTATACAGATTTTGGGAGGCATGGGGTGAGTAAAAATAACAAAAAAACTTCTGTTTTACTTGCATGCAAGTGATTAAGCTGTTTTTTTGTAAACTGGACCTATTTTATGCCTCTAATTGGTTGTAAAATAATTAAATAATACTGCTGGTGCAAAAGTTTTCTTACTCTCCTGTAAAATTATTTAAATGTTATAAATGCCACTACATCGAGAGATTGATGATATATTTAAAGTATAAGGTAACAAACTATATTTTACTATTTTCTTTTAGGTATGTTTCTGATATGCCTGCTGAACGCCATTATAGGGACGCTAGAATAACTGAAATATATGAAGGAACATCAGAAATCCAGAAACTTGTCATTGCAGGAAATTTGTTAAAAGAATTTGGACTTTAAGATCGTGCCAATTTGAACTGAATTTGTAGAGAATTTACATATGATATCCCAAAGATACCTTTTTTTAAAGACATAACTTTATATTTTTATAAGCCAGCTAAGTAATATTTAAGAGAAAGTATGTTTTTAAATATAGTACTTTATTGATCTTATTTCTGTTTTACAATTATTATGTATACAATATTTTAAACATATAATTTAAATAAAAGATTTTTAAACATATTATAATATACTTTTTTTAACTGTAATGAACCTATTTTTCAGTAGCTTTTGTTAGAATTCATTTTATTTTTCAGTTACAACATATTCCATCCGAGAAATATTAAATCTTTGAAGTTCCATTAAAGGCCCTGTACTGTGAATTTCGCACCATGGTCAAAATCCTTACAAATTTTTGTCAGCTAGTGCGAGTGGAAAAAGCGCTCTGAGTAGGCAGGCGAAAGATCCATCGTCGATAGTTCAATGAGTTTAATTTTGAAATCTTGTTGAAGCAGCCAAAAAGTCCTGTTCTTTATTTTCGAGAAAATGCATACGTTCCTATAAGGTACAACCATGCTTCGACTTATAAAAAAAAAACACGTTTTGATCCTTTTCGGAAAATAATTTAACACCACAATTTGGCCTTGTTTCCATAAAGAATAGAAAACCGTATTTAAAACTGAAATTATTTTTAATAAACAACCCATACAGCACACATAATTTCAGAAGTGTTTCAGAAATATTTTAAACGTTTCAAACATATAACATTTCAAGCACAAGTTTCTGAAATATTTCTGATATATTTTAGTTAAATATTTCACTGAAAATGTTTCTGAAACATGGTATACATGTTACATAAAAGGATACCAAACGGGTTATGTCGTAAAAGGCTAACAATTAATGAAGAATTTCTGATTTGTAAGAAGATGGGATATGTAGTTATTTTATTTCATCATATGTCCCTGTCCAGCCACTAGCTAGAAACAAGCCTAAAGCCTATTCTAAATAATTATAGATTTGAGTTGTTGGTTTTTGATATTCATGCGTTGTGAACTTGTTATATGGGAAGCAGAATATGTATTTAGAAATTAAGGTGAGAACTACATAAATAATGCTTAGATGGATCTTCATGTTTTGTTTAGACATTAATATTTTTTATTATAGTTAATTTAAAAATATTAATAAAACTATTATTAAATAATTTGTATAAATCCTTTTAATTACCTATATTTTGTTTCAAATTAGTGCATTTAAAGGAATTGGTGGAAATGAAGCAATTTACCAGCTTTAGGGCTGTGCCAGTAAAAGTAACATTCAAGTTATTCAACGTTTCCAGAATAAAGTATTAAGGACCATTGTCGATGCATCCTAGTACTGCCGTAATAACGGTCTTCATAGGCACCTTAAAGTGGAGACTGTTGAAAACACAATACAAAAATTTGCCAGTAGTCACAAACAATGACTGCTCCAACATGGAAACCTTGAGATTATCCAGCTCCAATGCAAATCTATTAAGAAGACTCAAGAGAACCAGGCCTTTTGAGCTAGTTCAGTGATGTTAGATTAAAACAGAGTATAGTGCGGTTAAGTGTTATAAGGTAATGGTAGTGTAACTAAATAATTAAGACTCTAAAGTACACTATATTTTTAAATGTCTTTTTTTAGTCTAATATATTAGAAAAGAAAACTAGAATACATTTCTGAAATATTACTATTTAATATTTCTAAAAGATTTAAAATTTTCATTTCAGAAATATTACTGTGAAATATATTTTTACAGGACACTTACGTTTCAGGAATGTTTCGTAATATTTATAAAACATTGCAAATGTTTCAATGTAACATTGTTGAAATATTTCCGAAATGTGTTTGTACCGTATGGGTTTTGTATTTGTTAATTCGAATTAATTGTTTTTATTAAAGCCGCTATACTTGAAGGATATTTTGAGTAAAATAATTTTAATTATTGCAATTTTTGTTTAAACCATTTTGATAAAATCATTTTACAGGATTTAAATTGTACTACCAAATCTGATTTATTTGGAACCGAATACATCAGACTTACTTGAGTTCCGGCGAATTCTTGAATTTATATTTTTTGAATTCTAGCACTGATTTTCTGAAGAAAAATTCTTTGATTGATTTTCTATTTCTTTCTAGATTCTGATATTAACAATCTAGAGCGAAACTCGAACGTCAAATATCATTTTAATTTAATTTTCGGGAGCTTTTTTCACTTGGTGAAGGGGACGATAACAGTTTTCCGTGGGTTAACAGACATCTGCTCCCTCTCGCATCATCTGTTGATCGTACTTATAGCATAGTGAAGGATATTTTTACTACCGTTTGATTCAGATCTCTTCCCCGTCGCTATATTTTGCGAATCGAATATTTTCTCTTATTTATTTTATTCAGAGTTCTTCCAAGAATGGGCATTGAATTTAATTAATTGTAAATAATTGTCGATTAGCTTTAAATTGCGGTTTTTTAACCGTGTATCGACTCTATATTGTCCCTTTTCAGCCTCCGGAAATTATCTAACGTAACGAATAAAATCCATTATTGTTACCCTCTTAGAATCACAGTCTGATAGCAACTTCTCCCTGGAGGAATTTCCGTACCTCCATCTGGGCCTACCCAAATTGACTGTTGCAGACAAAATTAGTCCTATATACTAATGATCCAGTGAGCCCCAAGGATTGAAGTAATGAAGAAGAAATATATTGGGGAGCTGGTCCAATAAACATAGGTAGGTCTAGGAAAAATAATGGAATCGTCGATAGAAGGTTTAGGCACGGAAATATTCCTGGAAAGACATGTTTCATTAAGAATGGAACACAGAATAACTAAAGATTCTCCAATTAAAAAAAAGACCAGTAAACTAAACATGCTTAGATAAAATATTAATCTTTTCTGAAATACAGGGTGTTAAATAAAGTTGAAAATTCAAAAATTATTAATGGCTATAATTTTTAATCTCACACTTTAATTTTTCTAAACAATTTTTTTTATATATCATAAGATACTTATACCAGCAAAAAATTGGTTAAATAAACTTTACCAGTGGCGCACGGCATGGATAAGTAACTCCTCCATACCCTCTAAATTTTACACCACTGTCCAAAACTTATTTAAATTTTTATGTTATTTAAATAAATCATGTATTCTTGATGCTAACTCAAAGTGATTGGTTTTGGAGATATTGACATTCAAATGTGAAAATTTTAATTTATTTTGTAATTTTCGATATTTTTATAAATTCCTAATAAGAGTACATGCTTTATTTAAAAAAAAATCAAAATTATAGTCCAAATAAGTTTTTGGAAAGTGGCGTAAAATTGAAAAGGGATATAGGTGTGAGCCAATCCAAAATTAAAAACCAATCACTAGAGTTTCCAGCAAGAGTACATGAATTAATTATTTAAAAACCATAAAAAATGTAAAGGTATAGTCCAAATTAGTTTTTGGGCAGTGGTGTCAAATTTAGGGGGAAAAAATTATAGCCATTAATAATTTTTGAATTTTCAACGCCCTGTATTTTGGAAATATTTTATCTAAGCGTTTCGTTTAATCGTCTTATTTTCAATCAGAGAATTTAGTTCTGTATTTCTTACCTATTGTACACTCTAAGAACTGTAAAATAACTTTTTATTTTTGGTGTTCGAATTTACTAAATGCAAGAAGTGACTTCGATTTACCTACAATTTAGGTGCTATTCGAAGTTACCCCATCTGAGCGGGGAAATTCGGACACTATTTGTTTAAATAAAAAAATACATCTTCATTTTTTTTTTAGGTATAACACATACATAAAAAAATATTGAATATAAATTAATTTATTCTTTTCCCTATTTAAAAATAATTAGTCTGAAGTTACCTCACTTGACAGTGCACGACACATATACGAAGTAAAATGGCTGCTTGCAGTTCTAGATGATAGTTACTGTCGATTAAATATGGAGTGATCATGGAGTTCTACCTTCATGGGAGTGATACATAAAATATGTTTCTAAAGTACACCATGGAATAAATCACGCATGTTGCAACTTACAATTTTTCTTCTTAATAAACTTCTTTATTTGTACTATAATAAATAAATACATGAGTGCATTGCGGAGTGAGATTTAACTTGAGGCTAAATAACTTCGGTTTTAATTCAGAGCCGTGCATAGTTATAATAGCCATGGCTCATATATCTTGGTCGGTCATGGTCTACTTTTGAAACATTTTTTGTGGATCACATGTTAATAATTGTGATTTATTCATGTAGAATATTATTAGAAACTTAGTGCAACTAATTGGACGTTTCATTTTGTGAAAAATGAAATGTTGCCGTTGCCTTGTGTTGCTGTTTCACTTGTAGGCGCATTTTATTGGCTATGGCTGCAATGACCCTTTAGATCTTTGACCTAGAGCAGCCATACTCAACCTGCGGGCCCTCAAGCTTTTTTGTGCAGCTCCAAACACTATTATTAGGAATTAAAATGGTTGATCTACAGTCATTTTTTGAAATAAATTGTCCTTGCGACTTTTCAAAGCTTCTTAAAACAACATGAGGACTTAAAACGGATCCCTATCGTCACACCCATTGTCTTTATTTACATTTCAAAAAGGTGGCAACTCTAGTTATAACTCAAAAATATTGTGGCCCGTGTAGCATAACAAACAGATTTATGTGGCCCAAAAGAAAAAAAGGTTGAGTACAGCTGGCCTAGAGCGAGATAAAGTGACCATATTTTGAAAAGTCGAAAGCAGGACAAATCGAAAACATGAAGATTTCTTGACAATGACGGTTTGGTTCATTGAAGAGCAAAAAAAGGAAAAATTTAAGTGCGTTGTCCCGTCACCATTAAAATTGTATTTTCAGGCTGCCTAAATTAATTTTTTTTTCTTAATCGAACAAAAGCGGGACAAGTGGTTTTAAATCGGAGCTGTCCCGCCTAAATCGGAAGGGATGGTCACTTTAATAAAGTGGTATGTTGATCGCAATTCTTGCTGATAAACATACAAGCTATTACTGTTGATATCATTGACAATTTGTATCAACTCGTTCACTTTGGCCGACGTCTATGCAATGAGGTTCAAGTTTAAAATATTAGATACTTTTTAATTTTTTTATAAGTAGGACTATAAACTCTAGCATAAAAAGTCCCTAATCTATGCTGTATTAATTTTTTAATATACCTATGCTTGTCTACTTTCTGATTTGATTTTCAGAAATCTTATAGAGAAAAGTTTAGTATTGTAATTTCTTGGTGCTATAAAAACTTAAGATTGTTACCCAAAACTATGCAACAAGAGAGATCTAAATCTGATTATACATTTTACCAAAGGTTTCATAAATTGATCAAATATAAATGTGTAAAGGAAAACTTTTGCTGTCTGCCGATTTATAAATTGTTAGAATTTTTGGTCAATTTATAAGTTTCCTAGAATCAGATATTTCTTTAGTCATCCCTCTTGACTGTTTAATATATTTTTATATAGCCGCCTTTTTCACTTATTTGAATTCCCTTTATACCAGTACAATTGTCTAGTACAATAAAAAATGAAATTAAACAAATAACTTACTTTATTAATACAATTTATTAGAAAACAAATAGTTACAGTCACATAAAATTAATTTTAATGTTGTTTACGCCTGAAACTGCAACCTTCTGTAAGTCTCGCTTTGCCTCCAGTAGACGTGCATAGGATGGTAGAGCAACCTTTGCAGGGAACTGCAGATTGGGCGTGCGAGAAAATTGTGGAAATAGCATAGCAACCTGGACACTTTACATCCATAAAGTAACTATTTGGATGCTGAACCAACCTAAAATATAATATATTATCTCACTAAAAATCGAGAATTAAACAGCAGATAAGAGGGGCAATATTGTTTTGATTTATGTTGCAATTACACAACATTGAGAAATATTTTACGAGTATCTTGTATGTAGGTACAATATTACTTTACAATTTTAATTTTTAAATTCCAATAGTAAAAGAGAAATGACACGATGCACTTGACAAGTCTTAGCAAGTCAGTATTCAAAAATTGAGGTTATCTTAAAAGACACATTTAGATGAAAAATAATAATAAAATACTTCTGTTAACAATTTAGATCAAAACCAATTCTGATTGACTTACCTTTTCAATTTGTGTGATTGCCTCTGTTTTTCGGCAGAAGGATGTAATAAGTCGACTGCAAGAGGCATCTGAAAAATATTGCACAATTTTAGTAAACGATATTTAGCCACAATTATAGATTGATCGATAATTAGATATTCTGAAACTTTTATTTACCTTTTCTACGTTACTATTTTTCAAAAAGCACAAAAATTACTTCAGCAGCACGTGTTACATTCGGCTATCAACCATGTAAAAGACGGTGGCATTTGACAGCTAGAATGACCAAAATATTTGAAAGCAGTTATTTTATTTACTTGGCATTTTTTTGTATTCATATAGATCTATTGTTTTATTGTCAATTAATAAAAATAATATTATTAAAATATCAATCCTTAAATTATTTTAAGCAGACTTTCTTTTATACCTTATTTGATTAGTTTTTCGTTAGAAATTGGCACCAAAAAAGAAAAATATTAACTTTTTCGAAAATATGCCTCGGATGTTTTGACTTAAGTTGGTATTACTGATTTTAAACTGGCCTTTTTTATTGCAGCTCTTTAGCTCCTTAACGTGGGGAAATTGTTTAAATTTCAAGTAATAATGTGAATACATTATAGTAAAACCCCAGTATATGTACCAAGTAAAACGGCCACATACTTTGATTTTCTTTTACTATACGGAGAATGGTCGCACTGCGCAGCTTTCTGAGTGCCTTTTAAAAGGAGATAGAAAACTCCGCAATTTTGATCCCTCATTACGTGTTGCCTGTATCTTGGCGCAATATTTTTAATAGGTGCGTTTTAATCACAGACCTTTTATATATTGTTGTTTTAATCGTCCGCTTCTGCAGGTTAAAACGACTAAAGGTGAGATTACAGAACGTCTGCAACCTTGCAGATTTGCAAATATGGCGGACTTACAAATGCAAGTATTTCAAAAAATATCTGCAAGTCCGCAATATTTATTGTGGCTTATTACCCCCCAACAACACTAAACCCAAATTTGGAATACGAAAACTTGATACTTGCATGTGTAAGTCAGTCATATTTGCAGATTTTCAAAGTTGCCGCCATATTTGCAGATCTGCAAAGTTGCAGACGTTCTGTAATCTCACCCTAAACCGACAATTCCGGAAGCAGAAGCGGTGATTAAAACCACATACTTTGATTTTCTTTTACTATACGGAGAATGGTCGCACTGCGCAGCTTTCTGAGTGCCTTTTAAAAGGAGATAGAAAACTCCTCCATTTTGATCCCTTATTACGTGTTGCCTACATCTTGGCGCAATATTTTTAATAGGTGCGTTTTAATCATCCGCTTCTGCTTCGGAATTGTCGGTTTTCTTGTTTTAATCTGACAGGTTAAAACGACTAAACCGACAATTCCGGAAGCAGAAGCGGATGATTAAAACGCACCTGATATTTTGTTTGCTGCTGTCAGTGAATATAGGTCTTTTCCTTTGCATCGAAAGTGTAGCACTGAGCTACACCACTTCTGAAAATATCGTTCCATTTATATAAAATGTATGGATAGAACGATATTTTCAGAAGCGGCATAGCTTAGTGCTACACTTTCGATGCAAAGGAAAAGACCTTATTATTTTTGGAGTCACAGTTTATTGCTAAAGAATCAGTTAGCTCACTCGGACCAGTTGAAAGTTCCAAAATAACATCCACTCCAGGGATATAAATTCAGGATACGCAGAAGACTGCTGTTTTATTATAGGCGGTTGTCATATATTGTATTGTCCAAGTTGCGCAGTGTATAAACTGGAACATTGAGATCAAAAGTGCCGACGCAGAGTGAGCGATCTGATTCTTTAGCTATAAACTGTGGCATAGGAATGAAAATGGTCACGACCTATGTTAAGGCGTGTCGGACCTCCCTCTTGCACCGTATAGTAATCAAAGTATGTGAAAACGGCCCATTAACGATGAGACATGACTCACCGCATGCGGCGCTACACAGGTCTAACAAAAAACTGTCTCAAGAAAGATAAGGCCATATACATTGAGACGGCTATTACATAATATTAAAAATTAGTCAAAATAAGAAACTGCTGTTTTGTATTGTAACCAGGGACCTGGACCGAAATGAAATTGACGGTTCGGTTCCGGTTCTTATCACATTTAAAAAAATCCGGTCCGGTACGGTCCCGGTTCTCAAAAAAAAATTTCGGTTCGGTCCGGTTCTACCAAATTTTTTTCGGTTCGGTTCAGTTATTTCGGTTCGATTGATTTTTTATAGTAGGTATGTATTCATTATAAATTACCCACCCCTTATTATCGTTATTGCATATTGAAAAAAAAAAAGTTTCAAAAGTCAGATGAGATTTCCAATTTCCAAAAATGTGATTTTTCATGTGGCTGTAGATCCTTTATTATCCAGATTAGACATCAAGTATGATACATCGTTGAAATCAACTCATCGAGAGGATTATAAAAATGTAAAAATATACAGGGTATCTCATTTAAAAAATGTTTTTTGGAACAAGTTGCGTTTTCACGCGTCTGCCTCTCTACTTGTCCGCACTCACAATTAGGGGAGTTATACACTCCTATCCGGTGAAGGTGTTCCGGGGTGGTACAATGTCCTACTAGCCTAAGTCTATTAATTGTAGTTTGTAGTAGCTGAATTAATATTGACGTTACCTACTTTCACTTTATTTGTCTTTTTTCCGATGTGTGGTGTGTGGTTATATTATTCAGCTACTTTCAGTCATAAAAACTATGGGGTTCAGTGAGTCTTACTGGTCACGTGAATCAGATATTCCAGCCAACAAAAAAGCATATGAAAAAGACACAAGAACCGAAAAAAAAAAACCGAAAAAAACAAAAAAATTCATTTTTATTTCGGTTCGGTACGGTCCGGTCCATAAAAAATATTTTTAATATATTATCGGTTCGGTTCCGGTCCATCTAAAACATTTCGGTTCCGGTCCGGTTTTCGGTTAATAACGGTTCGGTCCGGGTCCCTGATTGTAACCTCAGAAAAAGGTATATTAATGCTTCTTTCTTTAGGAATATTAATTAATGTAGAGGATGAGTCACATAAAACTCTAGAAATGCTATGTCTGAAACCAGATAACATTTTAAAATTTAAACCTATTATAAGTCATTTGGTCGATAGGGGTGGGTAATTATCTAAATAAAATATCGATCATTGAAAATAATCGATTAGTTTCGATCAATCGATTACTTTCAAACAATCTATTTTTTTCGTATTTGCTTAAAAATCAACTACCTGAAAAATAAAAAATAATCGATTAATTAAAAAGCCAATTAACTGATAAATCAGTGTTTACAAAAAATAATAAACGGATTATCGTTTATTTTAAATAATCGATTATTTTCAAAAATATTCTATTTCTTTCCTTTGAAACAGACAATTCGATAATCTTTGAAAAATCGATTAATTTAGAAGTCGATTTACCGATAAATCGATTTAAAAAAAAAAAAAACCGAATCATCGATTATTTTAAATAATCGATTAAATAATCTATTTTTTCGTATTTCCTTTAAAATCGATTATCTTTGAAATATCGAAAATAATCGTTTAATCGATTAATAAAAAATAATAGATTAATCGAAAATAATCGATTAATCGAAAATAAATTGATTAAGAAGCTGATTCTACTATAAATCGATTTAAAAAAAAAAATAATCGAATTATCGACTATTCATATAGGGGACTATTCTGTAACAATTCCTTTATATTTAACGGCCTTTAAAAACATTTTCGTATTCGTTAATTTACTTCTGTCATTATTTAAACAGATTTCTTTAAGATAGTCCTAGAATGTATTTTAAAGATCCGTTTAAATAATGACAGAAGTAAAGAAGAAAATATTTTTAAAGGCCGTTAAATATAAAGGAATTGTTACAGAATAGACCCCATAATCCTTTTTTTTATATTTCCTTTAAAACTGATTATTCGATTATCTTTGAAAAATCGAAAATAATCGATTAATAAAAAGCTGATTAATCGATACTAAAAAAATAACCGAAATATCGATTATATAAAATAATCGATTATATTCGATCAATCGATTATTTTCATATAATTTATTTCTTCGTATTTCCTTTAAAACAAATTCGAATACCTTTGAAAAATCGGAAATAATCGATTAATCGAAAATATTCGGTTAATGATAAATAATCGATTAATTAAATAATCCGATTAAACATTAAATCGATTTTTTTTAGAAAAATCGATTTATAGTTTAATATTTTCAAGCAATCGATTATTTTGAATAATTCTACTTTCATTTTGTATTTCCTTTAAAATCGATTATTCCATTATCTTAAAAAACGAAAATAATTTATTGAAAATGTTCGATTAATCGAAAATAATCGATTAATTATAACGGATAAATCAATTTTTATAAAAAAATTACAGAATAATAGATTATTTTTGTAACCCCTATCGGTCGCTTGCTTTTACCCGAGCATTTAGCTCCAAAATTTAGAGATTCTGATTTTTTAATCCCGTTATCTTTGAATATTGCTAGAATTTTGATTTTTTTCAAGTTGTCTAGTGTAACATTTTATTAACAATGTGACTAACTCCCGTAACTTTAGTATTTTTTTTGCCTATACTAGATCATATTGTGCGCTTTACTTTGTTTTAAGACTTAAAATTCAAATGTCACTTCCGATTTGACCGCAAATAAGATGAATCTTGAAATTTTAAGTAGGTCATTCTGTATTACATCTAATATTTCTATAAAAATAAAATTCCGCTAGCAAGTATGCTGTTTTACTTCTTATTTATCTACCAAAAAGGGCTAAAAACCACCTTTAGTAAATATTCTTAGAAACAATGCCTATTTACTTCTTATTTAAATGTTCAAAATTTGCCCTTTTGTAAATTTATGTAAGTATTATGAAATCTGTTTTCTGAAATATGTATTTGATGCTTAATATTTATTGAAACCTCTTAATGCGGATCTGAAGTATTCAGCCCAAAGGATCATGGCAGCTTTATGTCAAAATGTTAATAAAAATGAATATATTTCTTATTTTTCATAACATTGGCACTTATATTATTTGTATATACAATTTTTCACGATACATCGTGGCATTTTGAATTTGAAAAACTAAAACACTTTAAATTGCTAATATCACCAACAAATAATTCAAAAAACGGCGGTCCATGATGATTCAACTCACACGAAGAGAGCGTAGAGTAGAAATATCGGAGCAATTCGGATGGCGTCGTTGACACAATGATTTTTGGGTCACTTAAGGTTGGAATAGACAACGTGCGCTATGTGCAATGTTACATCTCCGGTCTCTTTAATCTAATAGCACTGGATTTGTGCACTGAGTATATTTGTGTTCTTGTTTATCGATATGAAAAAGAAGAAAGTGAAAATACACTCAAAACGCACTAAGCATGCTAATGGAAAACGCCATAAGGTTAAGATCTACAAGCACTCCAGTTTATGGTACTTTATTCTGAAACAGCCTGTATAAAAATGTTTCGAGTAAGATGTGTGTGGAAAATGTATCTATTTAGTTCATCTTCTAGACATTTATAATAGGTTGTACAAAATAACCGGGAAAGCCTGTAACAACTAGACAGAGAAGGCAATGGTTAGACACATCAGTTTTTTAAAGTGTGCATTTACGGACTTCACCTATTTCAATATGCATTAGACAACTAGACCATTGACAGTTTATAACTATTCCTGCTATAAATCTGTATCAAACATCTATTTTTTTTTATTTCGCTTCCTGTTGTATACTAATAAGAAAGTAAAATAGTAGATTAAAAATATTGAAAGCAACGGCTTTAAATAGTTTATTTTTAACATTACATCAAAATTCAAAACAGATATATTTACAAATAATAACAGAATAAAAGGTACAGAGTGATAAAAGAGAATGTATTCTAAAAAAATCTGGGATAATGCTCCTATGATTACTATTTAATGATTAGCATGTTGTAGCATGAAAAGAAATCATAAAAAGCATTTTCATATCTCAATTAACAGAAATTATGAACACATGGTTTGTTATCCATTACTGCATTTTACCATATCTATTTCCCCGAAATTTACAATTTTATGTCAAATTCAAAGAACCACTAGCCCAGAAAATTTCCTTAGAATGAACATGAATTGTCCCAAAACAAGTTTTAGGCTATATTAGAATGATAACTTATTTAAATATCACAAGAAAAAACTAAATACTATTATAATACCCCGTGAATTGCATTTTTTGTTTATAAGAAAATTAAAAGTGAAATCAAAGCACCAACAATATATATGAGAGTAATATTCTCGAAAATCTAAATCAATAAACATATATTTTGGGTTCAAGTAATTTGTGAACACCCAAGGAAGTTTATTCTATGGTATAATTTTTGATAGTTCTAAACTCTTAATATTAAACATTGTCTGAAGACTTTTTAAAGAACCAATGAAAAAATCGGGCTTTACTTAAAAATAATTTTAATAATTGAATTAAGATTAAGCAACCTTTTAGTTTTTGAATAAATATTTTCGACACAAGATTTATTTGAATTAGAGGACCAAATTCATCGAGAATCGAGAAATATTAACAAAAAGCCTTTTATATTTTTTTTTTACTTTGGTTTTATAATCATACTGTACATTAAATAAATACATTTATAGCGAAATTCACTTCTGAAAATTATTTACCCTCCTAATGAAAGAAAATCTTATAATATATTAATTTCTAATATATATGTTTTAAATTCTACCAATAATAGTACACAATAGCAAAAAATATATATTTTTTTTATTAATTATGGGTAATGATAAGTAGTCTTTTTTTCTGTATTTTAATTTAATATTAAAGAAATATTAATAACAAATTATTTAAATTTAGAGATATAATAATAAAAACGATGCAAATAGGAAGGGGTAATGCATAAGAGTTCTTTTTTTTGTCAATTTTAAGGTTTACTTACATACACTTTGTTGCACTTTTAACTTTGTAAATTACTTTATTTTTAAAATATCATACATGATATCACTATTAAAATTATGATAAAATAAAACAAGACATTTTGTTAGCATTAAAATTTTCACAAAAAAGATTTCCTTTATTTCACTTTATTCAAAGTATGTTATAGCGATAAATATTAAATAAGAAACGATAAAGAAATATTAAATACATACCAATTTCCAATATGTCTTTACCCCTAAAAATTAAATTTAATTTATGTATAAGGGTGCTCAACGTATAGGTCATTAACTGAACTTACACCCATATCGGATTAAGAAACATATCCACGACTGAGCCGGTCTACAGGATAATTTCGCATCAGGTAGTTGAGTAAAATAAGCGTAGTCCTCCGGTGGGTAGAGGGTGATAATATTTTAAATATTAAATAATTATGTAGTATGTAATTATGTTTATTAAAATTAAATTACTAAAGTAATACACGAAAAAATGAAAATATTTATAATTTTGTTTTGGACATTGTTTATGGTAATACCATTTTCCCCGAATACAATAAACGCTTTATGGTCAGGAATTTCCGGAAGTCCCCTTCTCAGGTAAAAAATTAAGATTAAATGTTCTATTTTTGTACTGATGTTATAGGACTAATTGCGCTAAATTATTTAGTTCAGTTTTAGATTTCGAAGAGAACGTATGTCGAAACTGAAAATGCCGAAGCGCTTGTTACGTGTAGATGACTTAATTTGTAATCTACATAAGTATTTTACGGCGGAAAAAGATAACGGAGGACCTTTAAAGCCAGTAGTGAGTGTGCATCAACGCGTCTGTACAGCTTTCCGTATTAATGATTCAAAATTAAAATATGGTTTGAAAAACATCAAAAGCGGAGAGAGCAAAAAAAAAGAAAAAATACACACCTCGCAAAAAACTGAAAACCTCGGATATATCTGGTGGGACAAAATTTCGTATTCGTGATATGGTGTATGAAATGCGTGCGAAAAAGGAACATGTCAACTTAGACACATTGCTGGCTGACTTAAGACAAATACAAGTTGGTGAATTTGGCAGAACAAGTCTTTGGAAGTTGTTTAAGGAAATAGGTTTCAAATTTAAGAAAGAAGATAATAGAAAAGCTTTATGTGAAAAAAATAATGTTGTTCACAAAAGAATACATTTTTTAAGAGAATACACTCGTTTAAAAGAGAATGGAGCTTCGTTTATATATTTGGATGAAACCTGGATATTTTCCAAAAGTAATAATAATAATACTCTCCCTAATTCACCCCCTTACGAGTGAATTTCAACCCCTGAAGTCGACTGAACGACTTGTGTAGGGGAAGGGACGGTTATTATTATTATTTGCCGTGGCGCTCCGGGGCGACTTAAAGATGATTGATGGTGCCATTTGACTTACAGGTGAGGAAAACCCGGAAAACCTCACCCACCATCATTTGGACATCAGTGGGACGAAAAGAATATGGCAAGATGCAAATATAAAATCAATAAAACATACTAATGGTGAGGGAAAGCGACACATAATCTTGCACGCAGGTGGAAAGAATGGATTTGTAGATGGTGCAGGATTAATATTTTCCTCTAAATCAAAATCAGAAGACTACCACGATAACATGAACTCAGATAGTTAAATGAAAAACTATTACCAAATTTAAGTGAACCGTCTGTTATAGTATTAGATAATGCGAGCTATCACACAGAACTTTTAAACAAACCGCCAAGACAGAATTGGACTGTAGCCAAAATACAAGAATGGCTACGTAACGAAAATGTTGCATTTCCACAATACGCCCTTAAATCTGAGTTGTAACTTTAGCCAAACGACATGAACCACCACCAATTTATATGGTAGATCAAGTCGTACATAGTTATGGACATGATGTGTTATGGCTTCCACCGTACCATTGTCAGTTTAACCCCATCGAACACATTTGGGCTATAAATAAAACGTATTATGACAATCATATTGGAATTAATGGTTACAGCGACGAAGCAGTAAGGGAAATATGGAAACAAGCAGTGGATACATCAACCCCAGAAATTTGGCAAAAATGTGATAAATTAATTGACGACTGGTGGACACAGGATAAAAGAAATTAACCCTATAATTATATCTTTAATGATGACACTAGTGACACAAATTTTGAGAGTGATGCTGAAGATTTATAGGTATGTCAAAAGACAATTATTTATAATAATCACTGTTTAATATAGAATTTTAAAAGTTATGTTATTTTTAATCATCGTACTTACTTAATCACAGGGTAAAACTGTGTATGTAAATTAAAATTTTTGTTCTAAATAAACTATTATTAAACAACAAAATCATGTAACTATCTCTTTTAAGCTTTCTGAGGCAAAATTAAATAACTAAAATTTATTTTTATTTTGTTTCTATAAGAACCGCTTGCAATATACAAAATAACGCCACCCATGAGTAAATGTTTAAAATACAACTGACCAGTCAAATCTTTCATTTATTTCTTAATCCGATATGGGTGTAAATTCAGTGAATGACCTATAGCAGTTTTTGTTTAAAGCATAAATATAAAGAGCATTTTCAAATTTAGATTGCCAAGAAAATAATTTCTTAATGCTAAAAATCACTTAAAATAAGGTAAAGCAATTTTAATTTTGTTACTAATCTAAGACGATCAAATATTGCAATGTTAGTAACACACCATTTATTTTAATATTAAATAAATTCGGTAAGAAATGTATGCAAGTCCTCAATTCACGAAAGGGATAGAAAATGTAATAGCAGTCCCCTGCTGCAATAGTTTATTGGTAGTCAAAAGCCAAAACGAGATATGATAGGAGAGATATTGAAGTATATTTCTTGTATATATTATTAGGTTCCTTTATGTTAACGTTGAATACTGGCCTTGTATTACATTTTTACCGAATCTGTAAATTTTTTATTACCTGTTGGCGACATTCACTGTTTTTTGAAATCAAATTAATTTTTAATTCGGCATTTTTATCCTTATGCCGATTAAGGATATATTTTTCTACAGGATTCTACATAAAGGAGTGTTCCCGTATAATCAAAATACAATGTAAAACAAATAATGCATATAATATATTTTTTAGATTGTTTATACATTCTTCAAATACATAATAAGTACGTTAATCCTGCAGTGAATCAGCGATGGGAGGATTTGAATAGAATTTTATATTCATGAAGCCTCTCATCTTTGCATAGATCTATTGACTCAGCTACAAACTTCTTTGGTAATTAAAAGAAAAAATGTCAAAAGCAAACTAAAATAATAAGTTTCATTATAGTATATTGACTACCGTAAATTTTAGTATGAACCACATATAATTTATTTTTAACGAATTTTTTATAATAATGTTTATTTTAAAAAATATTAAAGACACCTTGGTCTCTTTGCCAAAATTTGCGGTATCAGTTTTAAAGGACATCTATCAGTATTCCAATATTTTTTAAACTAATTTTATTTAACATTTTTTTTTGTTTTTAAAATATTTTTGGACATAATCACAATTACAAAGAAATAAAAAGACAGTTACACACTTTATTATCCTGTATTATATAATAACTTTTGGTCTAGTAAATAAATATCAATTAAAAACAACCAGATTAATTTTTAAATATAAATTTGAAGTATAAATTATTTCCTACCCCTCCCCGCAACATAAAAAAATTCCCTAAAAGATCTACTTATCAATAAATGGGGGTCTCGGGCATTTCGCATTGACCTATAGTGACTCGGTGCATGGCCATTTCTGAGATGCCATGATAGTGTACGAGTGCGCCGCCTAATACGAATACATGGAATATTTGATGCGAGTGGAACCAGATGTCGCATTTACCGGGGAACCACCTTTCAGGCACTCGAAGAGCGTAGAACATTGCACCCACGATGTAAAGCATACCCATCAGTACCAGCCAGCCAAGGTATTTTTGACTAACATAATTAAACCAACCTGTAAAATATATAAAAAATAAAAAAATTAATAATAGAGGACTTCTATACAAGAGAAGTGCAACCAACTTGACAAAATAAAATTGACACTAATGACATAAGAAATCGGGTTACATAAAGAGGCTGTTTTTTAGTTTACGATTTGGTTTTTCTTATCTACTTTTATGCCATTTACATACCATGTTGTACCCGTAAGGTAAAAAATACGTTTTAGTTTAGGGTATTTTACATTTAAAGGTTGAAAAAATTTGTCAGTGTCAGCTGTCAATTATGTTGATGGTAGAACACAGGCGTAACCATAGATGGACATAACGTAACTAGTGTTGTATATGGTTGTATAGTTTATGGAACTTGAATTTGTAGCAGCAGCATTTTTGCATTTGACATAAATATATAAAACCAAATGAAAAAATGTTTAACAATAAAAAAATAAATCTCAATGCTACGCTTATTTTTTGACATTATCGACAGCTGATATTGACAAATGTCTTCAACCTTTAAATGTAATAATAAAAAGTCTTTATTACGTTACGGGTACAACATGTAAATGGCATAAAAGTAGATAAGAAAAACCAAACATTAGTGTCAATTTTATTGTGTTAAGTTGGTTTCACTTCCCTTGTATAGAAGTCCTCTATTAGCGCTGTTTAATCTCTATCTCTAAAAATTCAAATAAATAATGTGAAAATGTATCGAAAAGTATTAATACTTCTAATAAAATGTGTAAATAATATAGATAAGATGACAGAGATCAGATTTAGGTAGAAAATCAGACCTTTATTAATCCTATTTTATAAAATTGACGATAAATTTTTCTGAAATGCATCATAAGGTAACTAGAGCTCTTTGATGTTGGCGCCTTCAAGTCAATTTTTTTAAATCGGTCATTTGAGAAACAGCACATGTCAGTTATGTAGATCATTTTTCAAAAAATAAGAAGTGAAAATCTCAAAACATGGTTAAAAAAATAGTTTTGTACAGTCACAGCCAGTTGCAAGAACAATTGTTAAACTCTCTCGTTAGCTAATTAACCCATAACTTTATTCACTGCCCAAATTATCTTCTAAATGACAATATGAAGTAAAGTGTGACGATATTCGAGATATGTCCCTATTAAGAATTTTCTGTCTGTGTCGGCCCATTTAAGAGAACGCACGGCAGGTGAAGACGAATAATGTTTTCGCAACGAGCTCAAAATTTGCCTGGAGGATGCACAATGGGCCTAAGTGTTGTGGAAGTATCAACCTTCCCCACCTTACAGATACAGAGAGTTTATATTGTTAATTAAAACTAATGTAGGATGTTGCTATGAGAGTAGAATGTTCATTTTGACAAAAAATAGCATGTTGTCCTATTTATAAGATGGCAGCAATTTATAAAATTAATTTTATTTAGTAATCAAGAAAACTTTGTTCTGCATAATAAATAATAAATTTTTATTATATTAATCAGTGTTTTTTTATGTTTTATGGCACAGATATTCACAATATGTCTCAGTTTATGATTTTATGTGTTTTGTGTAGGCGTTGTTACTGTTTCCCTGTTAAAAAATTGTACATATTTCTTAATATTATTTGACTATATGGATACTCAACATTACAACACAAAAAAATGTGTTTAAAACACCTTACATAATATCGTGTCTTGAAGTAAAATAGGGCATTCTTTTTGTTTCTAAATATTCAAATGCTAAAATTTTATTTTAAACACGTTTGGAACAAAGCGATTTTATTCAGTGAACATTTGGAAAGGCGCTTTTCGTAGTCCTATTTAAATATGGATGATCAATCTTTATAACGATATATTATATCATTGGTCATATTGCGAAAACGCCCCCTGTTGTCAGATTTACGACTTTCAATAGCTACCGAGGATCGAAATGCATTTTTAGTGGATCATTAGTGTTAATAAGTATAAATATTTAACGATCGTCTTTGCAACCGGCTGTTAACGTTTAAAACTTGCTTTATTTCGGATATAATACAATAATTATTTTAGCAAAAAAATCGGTAACAAATCATGGTTGATTAAAAATGAGCGACATGTGATGTTTCTGAAATAAACAAAAAACTTAGTAAAAAGGAATATAGTTTTATATTCTAAAATTCATCAAAGAATGTTACAAAATAAAAAAAAAACTATTTATTGTTTTCATCGTTTTCATTTTCAGTTGCCGGCCAATTTAATATTTCGGTATAAAAGTTTACGATGCTTATCAGGAACGTCTTTCTTAAAAAATACTTAATTTGGTACTCAGATACTTTGTTTTAAATAAATTGTACATAATTTTCAAGTAAATTTTTTTATTGAGATGTTTTTCTGTGCTACTATAGTTATTTTTGTAGGAAAGCTCTTGATATGGTCCTCAATCTGGCCAACTATATTTCCTGGAATTGTATTTCCAGAAATACACTTGCCACTTTTGTCGTAAGGTTGTTTGCCTTTGACGAGTAACTTAGTTAAACATCAAACTCTAGCTATTGTAATTGCGTAATATTGATAAACGCCTTCTTGCAAATCATAATTCGTCCAGAAGAGGATGTTAAAAACTATTTAAATCAGTGAGATTTCGGTTTAGGTCATTCCGAATTTCTTGGCCTCTTAACTTTGACGTTACTGCAAGCCATAAATGCTTGTAAATAGACATCGTGCTTATTTTTGATTGTTAAGAGTCAAAAACTTTAAAAAATCTCTTGTGGATCGCCCTCAGAACATCGGTTATAACACTAAGTTACACCTACGAAAAAAATATTACTTGACAAAAACTAACATGGCCTGTTTTCACCTTGTTTTTTCGCGAAACCTACATCTTTGTAATTTATATATTCTTCACCATTTATTCTAGGGTTTCTTATTATTTTGCACTTATATAACAATAGTCAGAACACTATCAGAATCAACTTCGGCAGTTGATGTCGTGGTTTTAAATAATTGACACCAGCACATTGCGTTTAGAAAGACCAAATGTCACTTATTTAACTTAATTATGTTGTTTCTAAACACATTCAGATATTAAGTGATGCATAAGTCATAAGAATGTATATCGGGCAAGACAAGTGATGTTACTGCATGGACAGATGTGTTTACTTTTAAATATTGTATTTTTGGTATAAAAATAAAATGGCCAAAAATGTGACTGATTAATTTAGAAGTAATCTAATTTTATCAACTTAAATGTAGCTATCCAAACATTGGAAGGGATTGGTTGTCATTTTATAATTTAAATAGCAGACATATCCATGTCAAAATCAGTAATTGGAAAGTGTTGATCTAGATGTACCTCAGGGATCAACTTTAGGGACTCTAATTTTTCTACGTTAAATAAATGATATGACTAAGCATATTAACTTTAAAAACATAATTTATATGCAACAAATGCCTTATCAGAAGATGAATTATTTAGTAAATTAAATCTTTTATCTAATGAATTTATATCATAGTGTCATAAACATTCTTTAATTTTTAACTCAATCAAAACTGTTTTACTCCAGAAATAAAATTACCCACGAATGTAAAATAAAAGTTAATACTATAGAAATTATGCTTGTAAAAAATGAGCTTAATACATATTAATAGCAATGTGGGTCGGGATAGCCAAATAGCTAACGTTTTTAAAAAAATAAAGAGTGCATAATAAATACTAAAATTAAAAAATATATACGAGGGTTGCCTTTTATATTTCGGGATTGGACAACTCTGGTGTTGCAAACTGGCAACTGACAGCTGTGTCGTAAAGTTTGACATTTTTGAGGTCATGAGTACTCAGAACGTTTTGACATACGAATGCTATTTGTGTTGTTTACAGTAACTTAAAAGTTTCAACTCGGCCAAAAAATGGAATTAAATCGTGAACATTTTCGTGCGGTTATTTTTTTAAAAGTTTCGACGTGGATTAACTCAGCAACACTGCATTGATGAACTTAATTCAATTTTTGGCGATGAAGCTTCATCAAGGACTAGTGTTTATCGACTGTATGGTGAATTCAATCGAGGTCGTAGTTCGCTCCAACACGAATTTCGTGAAGGTCGTCCAAAATCAGTTGATCGGGAAACCATTGATGCTGTGCGCGAACTGATATTGAAAGATCGTCATGTGACCTATCGTGAGATTGAGACAACTTTAAGCAAATGGTCGCCTGTTTTTTTCGGAAAACCTGGACATGTCGCAACCATAACATTAGAACAACGCAGAACAGTCAATTCTGAGAGGTACACAACCATTTGTTTGTCAGTTGTCTTCCAAGAAATGAGGAAATCCAACCGCCGAAGATGGATCACTCTTCACCATGACAATGCGAGCCTTTCACACATCGGCTCAAACAACTGCATTTTTGAGCACTCAAAACGTCGGAGTGATGAGTCATCCGCCGTATAGTCCTGACTTGGCAGCGAATGACTTCTTTTTATTCCCTTACGTAAAGTATAAACTGAAAGGTCAACGTTTTTCGACAACTGACGAAGCGGTTGATGCGTTTAGAATGCATGTTTTGGAGATACCTCAATCAGAGTGGCAAACGTGCTTCGACAATTGTTTCAAACGCATGCAGAAGATCTTCATGGAGAATAATTTGAAAAACAATAAAGCGATTTTTGATGATTAATATTTGTTTTTGTTCTCTAATCCCGGAATATAAAAAAACCCTCGTATTTACCCAAGAGCTTAATGTTTACTATGCTACTTTAGCCTATTCTCACATCTCATACAATATTATTCTTTGGGATGATTCAGTAAATGTCTCTAAAATATTTATATTAGCGTCATGTCGGAGCAAGAAGTACCATCGTCAGTTGGGCAACGTACTATCAATAAGTTTCTCACGAAAGAGAGCGTCAAATCCTCCGACATTTGAACTAAACTGATCGAAAAAAGTTAAGGATATTGTGTATTCACTATGAAGGAATTTTTCTGGAAAAAAATGTGATATAGCTATTAATACCTGTTATTTGAATTTAAAAAAATGTTGTTTGTAAACATATAAAATTGTGCCCAAACAGATAAAAAACATCCCAAAAAAGTAGATTTTATTTTTGTAAAGTTTTGTTTTGTTTGTGTGCTGCTAAGCGTAGTTTGCGATATTGTAGTTATTCTGCTATCGACAAAATGAATAGACGCCATTTAACGGTAGAGAAAGCAAATCAAGCTATTGGGTTGCTTCTTTGAGGTGCGCGACAGATCGATGTGGCTGATCGGTATAATGTCTCTCAAAGTGTAATTTCTCGACTTAATAACCGATTTTATGAGACTGGATTTGTCATGGACAGGCATAGGGAGCGTAGACCAAGATCGACAAATGCTAGGGAAGACCGAAGATTAGTGAGAGGAGCCAGGATGGATCCTACAACAAACTGCACGTTGCTCAGCCAGCACCTTTTCGCTGCCATCCGAATTCGTATTACTCCTCGGACAATTTTAAACCGATTGAATGAAGCAGTCCATAAAGCACAACGTTTGCTTTGGTGTAATGAAAGGGCCAACTGAAATGATGAATTGCGCACTGTGATGTTCAGTGATGAAAGTCGCTTTTATCTTCGTGCTGTCAGACGTACAGTTCGTGTCTGAAGACTAAGAAATTCAAGAGTTAATGATCAAAATGTTCAAGAAGTGCATCCATTTGGAGATGGAGGTGTAATGGTCTGGGGTGGAATTTTCTACAGAGGTCGAACGGAGTTGTATGTTTGTGAAGGTACCATGACAGGTGAAATTTATGACCACGACATCATTGATAACCTGGTGTACAGTTTGGGATTACCTTATCAAAAACTTAAAAGTACGAGTGGTCCAGAAAATTTAAGGAAGGACGTGATGCCAATATTCAAGCGATTTCTAAACTTATTAAGGACAATTGGTGCCTGACGGTGGATGAAATTGCTGATGTGACAAACATAAGTCGTGAGAGTGCCCATACCATTATCACAGACCGCCTTGGATTCACAAAAGTATATACAAAATCCAGAATCAAAAGAGCAAGTATGGCGAAGAAGCGGGGAACATTGCCCCATAAAAGCCAAAATGAAACAATCAGCTGGAAAAGTCCTTACAATAATTTTTTGGGACAGGAGAGGAATATTGCTCATTGATTTTCTTCATGAGCATACTACTGCCAGCTTTTGGACACCGTGAAAGCCACAGTACCCCAATCCTAAATATAATTTTGTTTCACGATAATGCTCGTCCTCACAAAGTCCTTTTGACTACACAAAAATCCTGTCTCTCGTACATTTCAGAGTTGTTATTGAGTGTGTATCATGTATTATGAAGTGAGAAAAAAATGTACTCTGCAATCTCTAAGTGTAAGGTATAAAACAAAACCAAAAAGATAAACAAGTATTACGATTGAAATTGGTTATTAATAAAAATAAAATTACCTTCTACTATGCCATAATGAATAGCCGGTACAATTCCACTCAAACCAAAAGTCATAAAGACAGCGGCACGGAATGGCCGCCATCCTGATTCTGAAAATTTATCCCAAAGGCTCACCATGATACTAGTTATTCCTAGAGCACAAACTACCTAAAAAATAAATAAAATTGTATATATATATATATAAAAAAAAAACATTCAGTGTAATTCAGTAATAAAAACAACTTACAGATAAGTAGACGACTTTCGGTCTAAAATGGCAGTAGAACCCGTAATACAGCCATGGCACAAATGAACCCATAATCAACAGAGCAATTCCACAATAATCTAATTTAGAAAATAATTTGCCTATGAATTGCGAATGACAGTTGACAGTGTGGAACATAAACGACATTCCAAGACAAATTATAGCGCCTGCGAAAAAAGCTCCAAAAACTATCTTCTCTTGCACTTCTATTTCAGCACTGGGTCGCATCAGGAAGTAGATTGCAATACCTATAAAGGCAATAATTATTTACATAAAGTATCAGAGATTTAAAATATTTCCATTTTAATAATGGATGTTTGATACTAGCATTGTATTTAGATCAACTAGTAGAACAATACCAATGCAAATTATCTTGGAGGACAATGGACAGATGGCAGCCAAGCTCCGTGGTGTCCAAGTCATGTCTTTGATAATTTTGCCGTCTTCTATCGAGCCATCGAACGGTTGTCGAAACTGAATAACAAACGTAATTTCTCTATTTACTAATAGATGGACCGATAGTCGATTTAGAATATTTTTTTTTTTTAAATGAGATAAACGAGTTTAATTATGCTTGATGAACATTTATTTACCATTTATCACAATTTTAGAGAATATAAACAATATTAATTTAAATTTGGCAATCTACCCACATGAATTTAAAAATTAAGAAAACTTTATGTAAAGGGCGTATCTTATAATGGTACCCGATGTTTTTTTCAAATAACTTGACAACCAGGTGACAGATCGCCATGTTTGTTAATGTTTTAGAAACGTCAGTCCAGTACAATTTTAACAATGAACCACCTTACACCACAACAACGTGCGGAAATTGTAAAAATTTATTTTCAAATAAACTCCTATGTTACGCTGACTCGACGCGCGTTCAGAGCGAGGAATCGTGGCCAGAATGCGCCTACCCCGAACACTATTCCTGCTTTGGTTGCAAAATTTAATGCCACAGGATCTTTAGCAACCTCTGTCTGTCGGAATAAGCTGTGTACCAGACCGAGTATGGAAGCAATAGCAGCCGTAAGTGCCGACCTCGCGGGGCGTCATCAAGTTTCGGTCTGACATCGTGCTTAGCAGTTTGGCATATCTCCCATGTCCATGTGGTGGTTGTTAAGGGTGGATTTGCGCGCCTTTCCTTACAAAATGCAGACCGCTCAACAATTATTGCCAATTGATAGGCCGCGTCGCATCCAATACGGTCGCAATATGCAGGACATCCTTGTTGGTCAACCTGATTTTTGGAGCTGTTTGATCATGACCGATGAAGCACATTTCACGCTGTGTGGCGTTGTTAATATGCAAAATACCCGCTTTTGGGGCATTGAAAATCCGCAAATGATCTTCGAAGAGCCATTGCATTCCCCCAATGTCACTGTTTGGTGCGGTGTTTGTGATGAAAGGGTCATCGGCCCGTACTTTTTCGAAGACGATAACGGTGCCGCGGTAACAGTCGAAGGCGAGCGATATCGGGCCATGTTTCGCGATTTTGTGGCAAATGAGGTTGACGAACATAACATGGGCGACTATTGGTTCCAGCAAGACGGCGCAACATGCCATACAGCCCAGCCCGTCTAACAATGGATTTATTGCGTGCCATGTTCCTGAATCGATTGATATCGAAATACGGTGATATCGACTGGCCGGCTCATTTACCAGATTTGACCGCACCTGACTTTTTCCTGTAGGGACACCTGAAGGAAAAGGTTTATGCTGATAAACCAGCCACTCTCCAACAACTTAAGGCCAACATACGCCGAGAAATCGCTACCATTCAACCCGAAACACTCCAAAAAGTGTTTGAAAATGCTGAAAAACGGGCCGATTTGTGTGTGGCGTCCGGAGGTGGCCACTTGGCCGACGTCATCTTCAAAAAGTGACCAAATAAATTGTAATGGATCCAATTTCAATAAAAAAAACATTTATTACAAAAAATTAACTGTCAAATTATTTAAAAAATACTTCAGATACCAATATAAGATACACCCTTTATATATAATTCTATACTCAATGATTGAGGAAGCGCTAGCGCTCGGGCCATTTTAATGACGTTCTGTATTCGTTCTAACAGATGTCGCCACAGAATTGCCTCCAATGAAACGTCCATAAGATTGTTCTACGATCTTATCTAGATACAATAATATTTGATACCATTTTAGCAAGTAAGCGAGCAATATTTACCTATGAACGCCACACAGCCTAAGAGATGCGTCCAGATGTTGGCAGTTTCGGTGTGAAGTCTGAAGATACTTTTAAAACATGCCCGGAAACTAGGTAGTGGAGGTCGGTGGCCGAACACAAGAAAATCATTGTCTTGCAACCATCCGGGGAGATTTCTAAAGTGGCATACGGACCATCCAGCCTGTATCATTTTACGCACAACATGCTCCGCTTGTGAGGCTGCGTTGTGAGCCAAAGCTGTAATGTCTAATTCATCTCCTAACATGTCAAAGAAATAATATATTAATAAAAATAAAAATTTACGAGGATAAAAAGTATGACGTCCCTTACTTTATAAGTTACTCTCAATCAAAGTTATAATCCTAATCAGATTGAAAACATTTTATATTCTAAAACTGGGTGAATTGATTTGAATAAAATTTGTAATGTCTATATACAAATGGCATGACATACTTTTGTATTAAAGTAATTATTTATTTAGAGTCGTTATAATTAGACAAACTAAATATCAATATTTTAACGATTTTTGTTATTTAAAAATAGGTATCGTAAACGTGATATTTCTATGTAGAAAGAGTAATTTTAAGTAGTATTCTTTTAATAAAAGGAATAAAGTACAGAACTTTATGAAATCTAAACTTACAGTTTTGAGAATTAGCAGAACTTTATTAATTATTTATTAAATAGACTTAACATCTATTGTCACAAAGCATCTTTAAAAATTTACCAATTTAGAGGAAAAAGTAGAGTTGGGTGATATCGTTATTTTTTTAAAGACCACTGTTACTTTGATTAGTAAAATTTAAACAAATGAGGTTATGTTTCTTGAAATCAACAAATTAAACATTGTTTAATGCTTTTCCAAAAAACATTTATGAAATCGCTAGAACATGTAAACAAGTCAACTAACCGGTAATTGTATGAAATGTCGCCCAACTCTATTAGATATTTTTTGTTTTAGAAATCGCGTGTGAATTTGGCGGTAAAAGTAGAATTTCATATATAACACAAATAAGTAAAGAAATTGATTATTTAAATTATATGTCAAACACATTACAACATTAAATTACTATTTAAAAAGCTTTTATGCAAATATATCATTGACACGAAAATAAATAAAAATCCTATTTTCCATACATTGATTTCTATAAAATTTCAGTTTTTGCTCATACCCTATATGTTAGCTATTTATGTTAAAAATAGTACAAATTGTTGAAAACATTCAACGTGGCTTAGAAGCTTATTAGTCTTTTGCAAGAAGATCCATAAATAGCAGGAAGTAAACTGGATTTTTTACCAGTATCATTCAATGTTTGTAACAATGAGGGCTAAAAATCAGTCGAAACGATGATAAACATTTGCTTTTAAAAATCACTTTAAAATCTCTCACATATTTTATTAAAATGTAAATGCTTTTTGGTATAAGAAGCTTATCAAACCGTTAAAAATACGTTTTGCATAATAATCAATGTGGTAAACAACGTGTCAAATATTTAAGATGCGGTTGAACCAAATAAAAGTGACATAAGATAAAACAACGAGCGTTCTACTCCTATTTTCAGTTTACTAACGGACCATTCAATTTTTTTGTCAAATAAATCGAAAAAAATATTTAATTTGATCAAATATAAAAATGTTTGTGCCTATTAGACCCTTTTTAATAAATCAATGGTATTAAAATTAAATGTCAATGTCAAACTATACCCAGAATTTTCTTAATTTTCATTGTTACCGTTATTAACAGAGAAAACTTTATTAGAGCCGAGCTCAGGCTCCACCTCACAATAAAGTGGCATCACGGCTGGAAATAGCACTCGCTTAGCAATTAATTGGACATGCTAGGTTTGAAACTTCAATAAAACACATATTTAGAATATTTTTTCGTTTATATCCTTTTCATTATTATCATTGTTATCATCATTATTATCTATTTTTTTTATCAGAACATTATAAACTGAGCAATATTTAAAAGTACTGAAAAGTGGTATTTTTAGCTTTCCGGCACAAAAATTGCCGAGATAGGTAAAAATAATCCACATTATAAAACATCATTATCTAGGTACCAATCTCGTTCAGATTGTTTTTAAGATTCAAAATGTGCTAGAAATGCTTCAATTCACTCGTCAACTTTGAACTGACTATACATATCAGATTGCGATGAAGGTAATTTATATATTTAACAATTTAACAGCTACACTGAATTATAATGAATTAATACAATTATTATAATTATTGGTATCACAAGTAAGTGTAAATACGAGTAATATATTAGAATATGTCTAACGCATTATTGGCAGATGCTTAAAGTCTATTAAATTTCAATAAAAACTGCCGTGGTTTATATAATCAACTACAAACAGATAAACGAATGAGTGTAAAGTTCAATTGAATCGTTTATTATTAAAGGGACACGTGTCCACGTTTTCAAATTTTTTACCAGATACAAAAAACGCTCTATATTTTTTTTTTTATGAAATTGTAAATGATAGCTAGTAGGTTATAGCAAAACAGTTTTTGACATGGTTTTCCTGAATAATTGTATTAGTTTTTTAGACTTTTAATAAAAAATATGGACATTTAAAAAAACACATGTTAACTAGTAGAAAACTTAACTAAAGAAAGTGCAACTGCGGAATTAAATACATTTTTTTTACAAATTTACTAGTAAATACTTTTTGTCGGCTCAACGATTTTTACTTTTTAACAAATCTTTCAAAAGCTTTTATAAAATTTTCATTATCTGAACCAGAGGACCTGGTTGAAGTTGGCCGGGCAATGATAATGTAGAAATTCTTAGAAGGCTTGTTCTGGTTTTCACGAACTAGTTCAGAATCAGTGAATTACACTCGTTCAACTCAAGTGGTTATTATATTATCGCGACATATTCTTAAAAAATGAATTCGGCTGTATTTGAGAACTGGAATCAACGGTTCTGTTTGAACCAAAACAAACCCATATTCTTCTGGAATATAATGGAAGTGGGGGGGCAAGACCTAAATTTTATGTGGGCAAGATACATTTTTGCGAGGCCCTCTGGTGGCGCAAGAAGACGGATTTTATATAGAGAACTAAAATTGAAACTTGTATTTATAAAAATGCTAACATCTCTTAGACTTTAACTAATATTATTAAGTAATTATTACTAGCAGTAAAGAATTACAGAAACATAAATTTCCTGCTTTTAGCTTTACTGAACTCTTGTACCATAATTCAGATTAGATGCTATATCTGCTTTAATAGATAAAATTGACAATGCTAAAAGTATTTGCTGGACCATTGTACTTCTTAATTTTTTATTAGTTTTAATTTTGAAAAGCTCCTTTAAGCAGAAGTTGTACTTACTGGTAGTGTTAACAAAATTTTAATGACAATATAAATATTTGGATAAATTTCTTTCAACTTATTTTCTATTATGTATTGGAGCAGTTATTTTACACCTTTAATGAAATCAGGTAAATTTGGGATCATTATTTGTAAATCTTTATAAAATTCGTAAGGTTTGAAAGCACTGCTCCCACCCACTCGAGAACAGTCCACTTTAAATAATTTTAAAGGTGATGCTTTTAAAAACAAATACAAAAATAAGTCAAAAATCATATAAAGGGGGACGTCTTAGGAAAGAAAGAAAAAAGAAAAAAAGGGAAAAGGAAAGAAAAAAAAAGCGCAAACAAAAACGCAAAAGAAGCACCTTTCAAATGATTCACTTTTCACCTCTGGAATCGAATATTAGAAGAGAATAAAAAAAGTAAACCAAATCGGAACGTTCTTTTAAATATAATAATTCGATTTTTAGTTTTTAATATAATTATATTGTTTTGTAAATAAAGTAGTTAATTTTTAATATTCTTGCATAGAATGATTGCCAATATCCACTCTTGTTGCCAAAACTACTAATGTCTACACATTGATATTTAACCTAATATACATTTAAAAAACAAATTAAGAGTGTAAACGTCAAAACACTAGTTGAAATTTATAAAATAAATAAAACTGATATTATTTAGTCTAGGAGGTAGACAAATTTTTGACAGTAAACGCCAAACCTCTAGTTTATTGAATACAAAAATTGGATGACTATAGTTTTTAGTTCTCATCCACTTTTCTTACCAACAATTTTCGATATTGTTGAAAATAAAATTACTTTATTGTTATATAAAATTCATATTTTTCGACAAACCTCGCATAGGATTGAAAAAAATATATGCGATGGTTGTATTTTAGGTTTTAAACCATGCAGAACTTTTCATGTAGTACTTTTTGCAAAAGAATAATAAAAAAGTTTCCGAAGTAAGGTTGACCTTCACCCATCTGTTTAAGGGTGAAAGTTTATTTTTATTAAATAAAATATGTTTATAAATATACCGTAAATGAGTTGTCTAAGAAAATACGGTACAGACTATTTATTTTCTTAAAGTAAAAAAGCAACACCCTCTAAAGTATTCCCCAGATGCTTCGACTATGCCCAGACTTTAATCAGCTAACTTCAGGATGGATTAAAGCTTAAGTTTAAAATTTGGTGTTTTTTTCTTCATCCGTTTTTGAGTTATCTTTAAAATTCGAACTTTGCACTTTTCCTCAAATATCTCGAATTAGGTCCATTTTAGGGAAATCATGTACAGGGACAAAATAACAGAGAATGACATTATAAGCAACTTTTATCATGATTTCTATACTTTCCTTATCTTTACACAGAAAGGAAAGTAAAAAATGGCCGTATCGTATTCTCTTAGGCAACCCATTTGCGGTATATTTTAAAACATATTTTATTTAATAAAAAAAAACTTTTTATGCATTAAACAGATGGGTTAAGGTCAACCTTACTTACGAATCCTGGACTACATATTAAGGTGCTGACTAGGGGCGGGAAAAATAATCGATCATTCGATTATTTATTTTAATCAGTAATTGATTATTTTCGATTAATCGGATAATCGAGATTTGAATTTTATCATTCGAATAATCGACATTCAAGAAAAAACGGTTACTCAAAAGGTTTTTTAAATCTGATATTGATATTTCAAAATAGTTATTTGTGTAACTAGTGCAAAAAGTGTATCTTTGTTGCACGAAGCATGAAGTTTGCAGCTTGAGACGAAGTCGAAAGCTGCAATCATGCTGAGTGCAACAAATATGCTTTTTGCACGTGTTGCACACAATATTTTTTCTACGAAATAAAATATACTCTTATATCAAATTTTATTAGAATATTTTACAAAAGGTACAACAAAAATCTCTTATTTTACTTTTTTGAGTTTATT